CTTGGAGATAATCTTCAAGAAAAGCTGTGCACTATACTTCGGTTTTTATTGGGAATATGTCTTTGTGTGTGTACCTAATTAAAAGACAAGATTTATTTAATTGTCTTTTTTTCCTTTTAATTAGCCTAGTCTCTTGGATATACTGTATGCCACTGTGTAAAGTGTCATTTGAATCTTAAAAAAATAAAATTTTAAAAATGTTTTGCTGTTACCAGAAAGGATTTGATGTGTTCAATGCACTAGACTTAATGGAAAACAAAACATTCCTGGAAAAACTCAAGTTTGGGATTGGAGATGGAAATTTGCAGTATTATTTGTACAACTGGAGGTGTCCAGGCATGGAATCTGAAAAGGTAAGGGAGAAAAAAAGTTTCTGAATTCTGTTAGGTGTAAATGTACATTAATCTACGCTGGCCAGAAATGGGCAGAAGTTTTAAAATAACTTTTTTAATTGGCCCTATTTATGATCCATAATTGAGGTGCAGAAAACTATTGATGTTTAGATTTATTGCCATACTTGAACTAAAATGCTATATTTTTCTTCTTCCTTTAGGTTGGTCTTGTATTACAATGAGGACACTCATGTTTCTAGAACTCTGAGGTCATCATTTTGAGTTAATTTGATCTTCATAACTCTTGGAATGGTATTGTTCAAGAGGAGTAAAAGCACAACGTCGGTGATACTGAAATAGTCCATTAAATCTGAACAGTGAAAACATCCACATGTGACCAAATTTATGCATTTTCAGATAGATCAGAAGGCCCATGAAACTCTTCTATTGTCCATGAAAAGAATAAAAAGCACATTCATTTAAGTTTCAAAGCTTAGCTTGCACCTTGATGAGAAGAAGGTATTTTTTTCCACTCTGTAGAAAAGACTGTTTTGTACAAACTGAACTTCAGTGGTGGATTAGGGTACAAAAATATTTGCTATTATGTGGATGAACTGCTGCATTTCTATTTATTAAGTGGTGGTGTATGTTTGTCAGTGTAACAGAATGAAGGATACAAATTCGAGTATCTTTGCTTATTTACTTCACGTGGATATCATCATTTGGGGGAAAATCAAGAAGTATGATAAGTTTGTAGCTCTACGAAAGTCCTGGATGTTTTTGTAACTGGAGCAGTATGACAATGTACTGGTTTAACTAGTGCATTTGTTTCTCCATAAGCAACGCTGCCAAATCAATAAAAATACAGATTTGTACTTTGATCTTCAATAGATCAGTGGATTGATTTAACAGTATCGCACTGTTCAGTGCAGGTGTTATCTATGTTGCCGGAATGATACTACATTACTGTACTTAATTTACAGTTGTGGCACAAAACCTTAGTTTTTCCTCAGTAGAATAACATCAGCCTGTGTGTAAAACTAAGAATTTTAGTAGTGCTATCAGGATGTTTATAGTTTGAATGTTTTCAACGCTTCTGCGAAATTGCACATATTCCTTTGTCTACTTTGATTTCCTATGAAGTCTGTAATTCTAATGAAAACTATCTTGTGTAAATATGTATTCATAAATTGTTCCTGGTAGTGTTTTTATCCTGAATTTGGAACAAGAAGTTTTGCTATATATGTGGCTGGTAAGCAGAAAATGCTCTGCCCTCAGTCCTTGGAAGTCTCTGTACTGCACTTCCTGAAATGTAGGAGGGCTGGTCTTTGTTGTTGGGTGGAGCTGTTTTAATTCCCTCATGAATGCTCAGCAACGGGAGTGGCTTCTGAAGCACTTTATATGCATTCCAGTGTAGCGTCATAGCTAGATATGATAGCAGTTCTTTCGGCTCATGGATGCTGCAGTAATGGGAGCACTGAGAAAATCTGCATTAAGAAACTGTTCTAGCTGAAAGTGCCAAATTGTGGTAGTGAAGCCTCTGTGCTGTGAGCATCTTTTGAATGTGACTTGAATATCTCATGAAATGCAAATGTCTCTTTCCTTTTAAACATGCCTGTAATTCTGACAGCAGATTTTGCTGAAAGTTTAATTCTGTACATGAAGATAAATTTGTCTGTTCTTCATAACTGCTAGCCCTACCCACTTCCTTGTAGCAATGGGGTTTTTCTTTCTTCCTGCTCCTTTTCCAATGTGTGAATGGTTTGTGTTTTGGTTTCTTGTTGAATTGTGGTGAGAGGATTCTGCCCTAGAAACAGTGATATTTTCCCTTATTGCATTATAGCTCTGTGATTAAAGCATCCGACCTCCTTCAAACAAAGGAAGGGACTGAATGTGGTTTGTCTGACCCCTGGGTGTGCACCAGCTTGGGACCTCATGAATTTAAAAAGACTTCAAAGGAGATCTAATGGTGCAGTTGGGCTTTACATCTCTGGCCACTCTGATATCTGTCTGCTAGTAGCAGCCATAACAGATGGTGCAGAGGAAGTTTGGACTCTCTGTGTGAGGCCTGAGGAGAATTAAGTGCCTGAAAATGGAACTGATGGTAGTGGTATCTGAGATAACAAGAAGAATTTAATCTCAACTCCATTGAAGACTTAAGTTTTTAACTCCCAAAAGGCATGAAGGTGCCCCCCTGGCAGGGCATTCTCATTGGAGCCCTCTGGGATGAGGAGGAGGTTCACCAAGGGGCTCAGTGTGGGCTGCTTCAGTTCTAAGGGCAGAGCCTTGTCAATCCTCGCTCAGGGCTGCCTAATGTGAGGTGGGACAGCAGGGCACAGCTCTGTCCTCATCTGTAAGGTACCTCCTTGCTAAGAAACAGTCACAGCCCAGCTCTCCCTAATCTGGATGGGTGGTGTTGAATGCCAGGTGGAAGATACACTCATGTTCTCTGCCTTCCTTCCCCTCAAAAAAATGCACGTGGAAGAGATGTTAGGCAGGTGTTTTCTTTTCTCCTCTCTCCTCTGGAATCAGAAAAGGCAAGTCCTCCCCAGTACTGTTGTTTGTAAAATTGAGGCCATGATGGGACCAATTATGTCCTGGCAGAAGATAGATTTGATCCTGGGTTTCCTGCGGGCTGGCTTTCTGCCCAAATCTACAGGTTAGGGCACATGAAGAGAGGAACGTGGCCACTTTTTTGCTCTGTTCTAGTAAAATAGTGCCATTTGCTTCTGAACCCAAGGGGTAAACTTCCATCTTGTTTTCTGGCTCACTTTCCATGTTAACTGAGGGGAAAGAGGGCAGAGTTACGCTCCTGTAGAAGTTGTCAGCACTATAGCTGAGAGAAAATTTGTCGGTCAGAGAGCATGAGGGAAGTGGGCAGCTGAGCCCAAGTGCTGGGGCAGTTCCTGGAGAGTTCTGTTCATGAACCTGTGTGTGTTACCTAACAGCTGTGCAATCCAGCGTGGTCTTTTCTGTCCCTGTTGAGTGCTCTTCACCTCGAGTGCTTTGCTGAAATATCACAGCATCAAGAGGACATGAATCTTGAAGGTGTCTCAGCCTACACCCACACAGTAAGACAGTTACTTGGGAGGTGAAAATTATCTCAACTCACTTTCACTTCCTAAGCAGGTCCTTAACAAAAGATGATTATCTGTGTGGGTGTCACTGTCAGCAGCTCAATGGGAGAGGTTCTTCTGTTGTTTCCAAACTTGAACCTGTGCATTAGGCTTGCTATGAAGATAAGACTCCTCAAAACCCAAGAGGTGTTTGTACAAAAATTGGCAAATGTAAGGCTCGCTGCACCACCTTTCCCACCTGCCTTTTTAAACATCTATAGTTTCTTTCCCAAAGTAACTTCCTATCTTCAGAGGGGACACAAATCCCTGAAGACAGAGAGAGGCCTAGGCAGGCAGTAAAGTGCTTGAAAGATGATTGCTATGCTTATGTTCTTTACCAAAGCTAATCCTTGTGCTCTGTGTAAATGCTAAGACTTTTATTTTATGGTTAGCCAGCCTGGGAATGAAATACACTAGTGCTAGCATGCCTTCAAAGTTTTATGCATCCAGAAAGCCAGAACAAAGGACATGTATGAAGGACTACAAAGCAAGGCAAATAAACCTTGCCTCTTCTTGCCACCCTCAGACAAGGACGAAAATTTTAGCATAATGTTTTGTTTAAACTTCAAGGAGCATCATGACTACAGAATCATTGCTGTTGCCTGCCTTTGTAGTTGGTATCCTGGACTTAAGTAATTTCTAAATAAATCCAAAAGACAGATGAGCTATCGGATGACACTGGAAGTTTGGATCAACAAATCTCTGAAAACTATGCGTAAATTCCACCTTTAAGGAACTACGAAGTAGCTCAGTTAAGGTATTTTATGCTTTCTTCTACAACTAAATTCCTAGGCTGTTGATTGTCTGAATTGCAGCAATATTCCCCTTCCTTACTATAATACAACTGTCTCATTAGGAAACTGTTCATAGTTCCCAGTAAAACTAAAGGAAACTCAAAAGTTACGTGGTATGTTTTCAGTCTTGTAGCAGTTATAGCTCTCATCTACTTTATATACAGCAGTATGTGGCTTATCTCAGTTTCCTGGGAAATAATTTTAGACTTCATTTAGAAGTCTAATTGAGTTTAGATTTGCATTTTCTTACAGGATGTGTGTTAATAATGGAAGGTTTGGGGTTTTTTTTTCATACTGCAGCAGTAGTAATTTGGTTGTGTTTTGTATTTGAAAATAAAGCTTTTCCTCCAGCATACCATACACCAGGTACCAGGTGAAACCCAAGTCTGCATACATTCATGACCAAAACAAGTTTATTGTTCAGCAGAAAAAACTATAATAGAGTTCAAAAGGGAAGTCTGCCTGTGCTGTTACAGCTGTTTACTTGAAACCAGCTTTAAAAGACTTATACTGGCATGGACCTTTGTTTAAATAAACTTTCACTTTTCGTACTGATTTGTTTGAGTAATTACACTTAAATCTGTTTTGCTTAAAGCATGTTCATCTGTGTAAAGATACAAAGTTCATTTAATGCTTGCATTAATTCCAGAGATGTATAAATTATCTCTTAAAATTACTTTGGCATGTTCATTACCAACTTGAACTCTCTGATCTCCAACTACAAATGAAATATCCCCAGGTAAAGACTGACACTTAAGTCTGAGCAATATTCTTTATTAAAGCAGAAAGTACCTCAACCAAATGCACCATAAAATTCTTTGTATTCAATTCAACACAAAATTACTTTGTATTCAAGAGCTTTACACTGTAAAGCCTAAAAATATTATTCAGTTAGAACTGTACTCCATTCTGCATGTAAAAAATCAGTTTAATAGAACCAAACTACAATCAGTTAGGTTGAAAAAGCTTTTTCTTTTTGCGAGGTGGTTTCTTTATCTTATTGGGATTTGGGACAAGTTTCTTGATTTTCAAAGGCTGCAAAATTACATTTGAAAGATCAGGCTGATTGCTTTCTGTACGCTTCCGCTTCTGGCTTGCGAGCTCATCCCCCCGTGCTTCTGCAAGCTCATCGGGTTCCTCATTTTCTGAAGAATCTGTATCTGCATAAGCCACAGATTCTTCAGCTCTGCACTGAAACCACGGCACTTCCAGTGCTGGTATCTTTGGAATTATTGCTTCTATTGTTTCAGTAAATTTATCGGACTGCTTTTTGAAGCCTAGTGCTAAAATGGATGTTAAGCCAAGAAGTGGCGCGACTGTTTCACTGAGCCGGGGCACTTGGCCTGCTGGTGTGGCTCGACTTGCGCTCAGCTCAATGAGATGCGATGTGATCATGGCAGGCTTTGCAGACTTGCACACCAGCAGGAGAAGCAGTTCATTTTTTTCCAGTGCTTTTGTAACTTCATTAACTCCAATAGCGAGCTGTCTTCTGATGCCTATGTCAGTCCACCCTGTTTTTTGTTGATGGCTTTCTGTTTCCTCCTCTTTAGGGATTTCATTAGTGCCAGTATCGCACTTTCTTTCCATTTGTTTTTTTGTAAGGGAACGTTTTTTCTTTCTTGGACTCTCAATCTTTTTAAGTCCAATATGTTTAATCCTTTCTTCTAAGGTCTGTAGTATGAAATGCATATCTTTTCCATCTATGGTTTTCCACTGAAAAACAAAGGGGTTATCTAGACATGTTTTTACGGTGATTTTCTTTGCTTTACGAAGTGTTGCTGTCCCTTGCTGAATTACAGACATCCTGAGGTTCTTCTGTGTTTTGTCACCCTAGGGAAGAAGGAGATAGACATTAGTTTAAATACTGTACTGTTTGCTGTGGACATCATTACCACAAGCCTCTTTTGGGAATGCAGAAATGACAAATATCCTATGTCAAAGTGATGTTGGCACCTGTCACCCTCCTCACAGTAGCTCAGTGCTAATCCTCCACACATCTTCCACAAGACAAGTGCTGTGTCTTTTTTTTGTTTATAAATAATAAAAAAACTAGACTGGACAGCAAGGCAACAGCAGTGACAAGACCCTTCAGAAGATGAAGAAAAGCAGATGGAGGTATTACAGATGTAAAAAACAAATAAAAAAAAACCCAATCAAACAACCCCACCCCCAGAGTCACGGGTTGAAGGACCACTCTGTTTTTGCTGTTGCAAAGCTGCATTGTCCCTCATAGCATGGGAAAAAAAAAAGGCTGAATCACAAAATGAAAAAAGCTCTAAGTTACTAAATTTACTTAAGACTTTTAGAAATTTGTCTTTTCAGTCTTTACTCCATGCCTTTGTGGTTTTCTGCATTTGGAAGGCATGACAGAGATCTGCCTCAGACTCTTATCTATGCTGTGAACCCTATGAAATGCCCTGGGCCACTCCAGCAATGGCCCATCCAGCCCTGCTGTGTCTCCAGCAGCAGGAACTGGAGAAACTGTTAGGAAAGGACAGGCTGCCATTCTCCCCAGCTCCCCAACACACAGAATGGTTGCATCTGGGATGTAATATCCTATTAGTCCTTTATGGACCTACCATTCATGCAGTTATCCGTTTTGCTCATCATCATAGTGGCAACAACGAAAAAGTGGAAACAACTAAAGAATGGAAACGACCACTATAAAGCTAAAATGTGACCGAGTTAGAAATGGAAGCCTATGACAGCTTAAAAAAAAATAGCTCTAGGTTATATCTTTTAAAAGCTTTTAATTGGGGATGCTCTGATGATCTTTTACAGGGGGCATCAAGCAAAGTCAGCAACGGACTCGTGTATGAGAAAGGAGCACAACAAGAAGGATTTCCCAGTTGAAAGGTTAGTTTTCTTTCCAAAATGGGTACTGCTGAGGAAAACAAGCGTACAGGGATAAGGAAAAAACCAGAAACACCGGGCTCCTCCACCTCGCGCCGCTGCCACGACCCCCTCGCTTCCTGCGGAAGGGAGAGCGGGAGCAGCGCCGCCCACGTTCACCGCCCGGAACCCTCTGCATCCCCTTCCGCTGCGCTCCGCGGGCGCCTCCTGCTCCTGACACGGACAAACGCGGGGCAGAGCACGGCTCGTCTGGACGCGCTGCAGCCGCCGGCGGATCCCTGGAGCGGCGGCTCCAGCCGCCCCCTCGGCCCCGCCGCCGGGACCGAGCACCCGCTCCCCGGGCCGCCGCCCGCCGGGCCGGGCCGGGCCGGGCCCCGCGCAAACGCCGCGGCTGCTGCAGCGGGGCGGTCTCCGCTGCCCGCCCGCGGGGCCCGGCCCGCACTGCCCCGCACAGCCCGCCCTACCTCGGCTGCGCCTCCCGGGCCCCGCTCCGCGCACACACCGACACCGCCGCTGCCGCCGCCGCTCGGCCCCGCTCCGCCCGTGTCTCCGCCCCACGCCGGCTCCTCCCGCCCCGCGGCCTCGTCGTGCTGAGAGGAGCAGCGCGGCAGCCGCAGGGACGGACGGGGGCGCTCGGGTGGCCGAGAAATGCCCCGCGGGCGGCGGGTGCAGGGCAGAGGTGCCGGGTCTCGGTCCCGGCTGGGGCGGCTCGGCGGGCAGTGCGGCGGGCAGTGCGAGCGGGCAGGCTCCCCGGGAGGCGGCCCCGTGCCCGGGCTGCGGTCGGTGCCACACGGGGAAACCGCGCTGCGCTGGTGAAGGCAGCGCTCCAACACTGGTGCCGGGAGCCTGCCCCCGGCGGGTCTCAGCCCAGCTTTAGCACTGCCGCTCCCGCGTTTTGAACGATCCCGAAAATGGGCGCGTAGGCGATGGCAAATCTGCTTTGTGTTATGTCAGCAAGCGGCGTCGTGGCCAAGTCACAGGATGCTTCATAGGGACTTCATAGCAACCTCGCTGCTGTGCAGTAATGCGGCATACTGTGCGCGTACATTGCATTCTGTAATTAAGATGACAGGTAAGGACTGGTTACGTTCAGTGTTCCCCACAGCCTGCCCCGAGCCATTAACTAATCTCGACAAACACATTCAGTTTTTACATTCACCTCAGTGCACGGTGTGGTTACACGCAGCCTCTTGGGCCTGAAAGAGCAGCGCTTCCCCAGCAGGAATAAGGGCTTCGGTGCTTCAGAGTGGTTTTCAAATTTATTTAAAGTCTTATATTTACTGAAATCTACGTGTCTTTTTTTTTTTTCTTGTTAAATCCTGGCTTAATTTAACGTGGACTTAATCTGAGGGGAAACACTCTTTTTCACGGTTTTATGGAAGTTAGTGGGTTAAAAAAATGCAGAAGCACATAGTATTGTAATCAAACTATGCTCAGGGAATGAAGAACATAAATGTAGAGAGGCACAAATATAAATAATTTATTAATGGATAGAATAGCTAACCAGGGATGGAATATTTTTTTCCTTCAATGATTACAGTTGTAGGCTAGTTTATCAATTTAATATTCTTTTTTTCTGTATTTAGTAGAATAAATTAAAACCCAACGTTCACGAGGTATTTTGTGTGTGTAGCTGCTTGTGTGAGGTATCTATTCCCGGGATACCCTGCACGTTTTCCAGAGCTGCAGCTGGACAATGCGAGATCCCAGGTTGGGCTGGGCGTGGGCAGGGGCTCGAGCAGAGGGACCAGCAGCAATAATTGGACTGGTTGCCGTTCAAGTCACGCAAACAAGTGCCTTGGGAATCCTGCTGCCTCGCTGCTCTCCGAGCCTGGTGGCCTGATCCCCAGTGGTACGGAAACGAGCTCAGGCTTTCCGAGGAAACAACTGTGGGCTTAATGCTCGCTGCCCCCACCGCCCCTTGCCCGGGGTTCGCCGCCGCTCCGCCGTGCCGGCAGGGCCGGGAGGCTCAGCGGGAGCCAGCCCGTGTCGTGCCTCAGCCCAGAGCTGAGGTCACTGGGACCATCCCAGCGCCAGCGCGCCCGCCCCGCGGGAGCCTCAGGCAGAGGCGCCGCGTCCCCGCCGCGCAAGGAACGAGGCCGCTCCCCGGGCATCCATCCTCGCAGCATCATGACTCTGCAGGTAAGCACTTCTGCGTCTGGTGAGACAGAGAGGAGAGGAGAGGAGAGGGAAGGGATGCGCTGTCCATCCGTGCAATGCCGTGTTGGAGACTGCGGTATTTCTTCAGCATAAGGATTAGTACTGCAAAATAGAGGTTACCCTGCAGCAAGGGAAATATGCCTAAACCCTTGGAGGTTAAATAACGCATTACTTTCCTACAAGTGAAGGGTGAGAAACATGCTGGTTATTTTGTGTTATTCATAGGTCATATAATTTTTTTGAGCATTACCTGTTTAGAGCATGTGTGAATTATTTTTTCTTGGTATGTCCATTTGAGTTTGCCAGGACTGAGATAGGTGTTGAAAGGCAGGTAGATACTTATAATTTTAGGATCTAGCTAGTTACATAGAACTCTAAAGAGGAGGGAAACTTCTAACACTGAAGCAGAGGTATATGTGCATTTGGGAAGAATGAATAACTTTTAAGTGAGTCATGTGTATTTTTTTAGGTTGTGTGCATCTTTGGAGTGGTACATTTTGATGGGCTTGTGTCTTTGTAGGAAAGCTGGTACTTCCTACCTTCTGGCTAGAGAGAGCTTCCTTCCACCTTCTCTCTGACTATGGCTTTAAATAGTTCTTGGGGAAATTATCTTCATTGCTGGCATTTAGCCTCCTACATTTTCAAGAAACTATGAATACTTCCCTTGTCTTGCCCATGCCGTGATGGATTAGGCTGGGGTTTTTTGTTAGGCTTTCCTATTATCCCTTTCACTTCAGGATTTGCAAGCCCTTTTATCCCGGTCTCATTATAATGTCTCTCTCAGCTTGGTTAGTTTGCAGAGGGTGAACAACACAGTGCTCTGACCTAGATGCAGGGAGTGCGTTGCCAATAGCTCAGCAGTTTTCTTCTGAGCTGCAATTATGTTGAATAGCACAGAGGTTTCATTGTGGTGTGTTACAGCTAAGAAGAAGAAAACTATTTCTTCAGTGGGTCAGAATTGCCAAATCCCTAACATAACAACACCTTTGTTTAATTAATAATCACCGGAATTGTAGTTTGTTTTTATTCTGCCTTGAGTTCATTTCAGAAAATTAATTTATTAGCCTTATGATTCAGCAATGAACCATAAATCACGATTAGAAAGAGGTGAGTGCAGTATGGTATGCTGTTCCATTGTGGTATACAGTTACACTTTCACATAAAAATCAGTGGTTGAAATACTGCAGTATCTTTACACGTTCTGTATTAGACATAGAGGTTTTCTATCTACGTAGGTTTGGTTTGGACAGCTATCATCCCTATCGATAAAAATTTATTGAATCAAGCTATACGGGAGTGAGGACAACTGAATAATGTTTTCATTAGGGAGGCTTAAAATATTTATGTTTTGCAAACTGGTCAAATATTCAGCTGTAAATGAAGAATGCTTTTTCCTTTGCAAAAAGGGAGTATGTGATAATAGTCTGATTTGTGCATTTATCCCTAGTACGTGTGTGTATGTTTGTCTGTAGATATTTTTATGCTTTTAATTTGAGGAGTGAAAGGAAATTTTATTGGTGCATGATTAAAAGGAAATTATATTTTTATAGGCTGCTCATAAGCATGTTGTGTAAGCAGGCAAATCCTAAGCAACAGTCTGTGCACAACGATTGGCTAGAGGGGGATGAAAAACAAAACATTTAGTATTTATGTTTCATTTCTGCACGTTTCTTGCTCTGCAAGATAAGCGTTTGCATATTTTTAACAGTATCTTGTGATACGTGCCTATAGATGCATATAGAATAAAACTATATGTAGATAAGGTTATTAACTTGATGGATTCCTTAATTTTTTTTTTCTTTTGTCTTGTACAACCTAACAGTACTTCTGGTTCATTCTTACTCTGAAGTTGTGGTTCAACCCCAGCCAGTAAATAAGTACCATGCAGCCACTTTCTCCCCTTTCCCCCACAGTGGGATGGGGAGGAGAACTGGGGCGGGGGGGTTGGGGAATAGAAACTCATGGATTGACATAAGACTAGTTTAGTAATTAAAGCTAATTTAAATATAATATATAAATTTGTTAATAGTAATAAAAAAAAGAGCATGCACAATAAAACCCAAGAGAAACAAGTAATGCTCAACACAACTGCTCACCACCCGCTGATCAATGCCAAGCCCATCCCTGAGCTGCAATCAGCCCCTCCTGGCCAATCCCCCCAGTTTATATACTGGGCATGATGTTCAGTGGTGTGGAATATCTCTCTGGGCAGTTTGGGTCAGTTGTCCTGACTGTGCTCCCCCCCAGCTTCTTGTGCCCCTCCTCACTGTCAGAGCAGGAGGCACTGAAAGTCCTTGGCTCAGTGTGAGCACTGCTCAGCAACAACTGAAACATCAGTGTGTTATCAGCACTATTCTTATACTGAATCCAAAACACAGCACTGTACCAGCTACTAGGAGGAAAATGAACTCTATCCCAGCCAAAACCAGGACAGAAGTTTGGATCAGAAAACAATTCAAGATACATGGAAGATTTCTGCTGACTTGTGTGTCAATGCTGCCAGAGGCTCACATGCAGTAGTGACTTATTTAAACTTTAAATGATGTGTCGCAACCCAATTATGTTTTATTGCTGATACCACTTCTTAATTTACCGTTAAAGAGCATGAATGCTGCTTTTGTTTGCATGGATAATATTAAGAGACGTCAGGGATAGGTATAGTTAAGAATGTCACATTACTGGTGTTTGGTTTAAGAATGAAATACTCATTATAATTAAATTTTACCAATTAAAAAAAATCTTAAGTGTGGTGAGTCATCACATTTATTTTTATACTGTTGTTAGTGCATAGGAGGACGTATTTTTGTGTAATTAGACTACAGTCTTGCTACATGAGTACAGAACTCCTCTATATCCTAATGCTGCAGTGTCTGAAACACTGTGCAGCAGCGTGGCATGAGTGGAGTGACTCGGGGTAGGCTGGGATGTAAATTGAGAGCATGTGAGTTCCTCTGCAGTATGTGCCTATGTCCTTGCTTCTGCCCTGAGATAAACACAAAGTGGAACAGGCTTATTTCCATGGAGGGATAAGCCACCGGTCTGTCAAGGAACATAGTGAAATAAAAAGTCATGTGAGCAATCTCACAGGTACTGAGTTCAGGCTCCTGTTCTGCTTATAGAGATGTGCCCTCCCTGCTCCCAGGCTGAAGGCACCCACTCTGTACCTAAGGCACAGGGCAGGACACTTTTGCCCTGAACTCCAGATTCTCTCTCTGTGTTGTTGTGACTTGCTGGCCTCAAACATGTGGGTTCACCTTTCTGATTTTTGCTTCTGAAAGGAAGGAGTATAATTTACTTGCTTTCTATGGCCCTTGGCAATTTTTGGGTAAAAATTCAAAGTGAGCTTAACATCTGAACTTGCTGAAGTATTTCAGGTAGTTGTAGGAATTCCAGGTACAGTTACTCAGCAGAAGGAGAACAAGAGACAATACAGCATAAGACGATAAATAAAGATTGCAAGGCTTTCATGAAAGCAAATATTAATATTGCAAAAGAAAAATGCTTAGAAGGGATGCTGCAAGGTCATTTCAACATTATTAATTCAGCTTTTATATGTAGTCTAGGGCACACAATTTTTGTTTATCTAAATTATATATAATATGTACAAAACATATAAACATATCCTGACCCTTTTGGATTTTTATTCCAAAAAAAATCCTGTATTTGTCTTGCAGTGCTGTCCAAGTTCTTACAAGAAATCAGCCACAAAAAGTTGGACTTAAAGCTTCATGTTTTTCAATGATTCTGTGGTATAGTTGCATTCTAGTAATATTGAGAATTATTTTTATTAAAACAGAAACAAACTGCATAACTAGTTACATGGTTTCAGCCTGTAAAGTTTTACATTTAAGAATATAACTTGGAAGTAATTTGATTTAGAATAGCATCCTGTATAAAATGACCAAGTTTCAGAGTCTTAAACAGACAAATTGCATTTGGAATCTTGCTAATTCTCAGAAGGATCATTACATTCAAAATAGAACGAACAGCAGGATTTCTTAAAACAGTGTTTGTCAGTTCTAACACACCAGGTGTTCTCTGTATTCCTGCCTCCACTACTGGTCATTTGGTTCTGGGAGTCCTTGCTGGGAATATCCCAGAAACTCCTGCTTGTCAGTTACGCAAACACTGTGGTTCTCACTGAGTTGGAAGATTATTTGATAAAAAGCATCCTCATTGCCACAGGATTTTTGTCCTTTCCTTCCGTTGCATTTTTAAGGGTGCTACAAACTGACAGAGCTAGAGATGTGTATTATCATCATGACCCTTCCCATGTAATGTTCTGAGAATTTATAGCTGCAGTTTAAAGAAGATTCATTTTTAATTGCTGTTTTGCAGGGAGCATTCCCTTGCTAGAACACCCTTTTAATCGTACGTTATAATTTTTCAAAAACATCCCTTTTAAATGTACCTCTCTGCCCACTGCTCCTTGTTATAACTCTGGTGTTACAGATGTGCAGATCTTGCAGGATATAGTGTGCTTCTGCAAATGCAGATCCAACTTAAAAGCTAAACTAATTATTGAAACCAGCATATACCATATAAAAGTACCAATACCTTTTTGCATTGGAGTAGTGCCGTGACCTCATGGGTCAGTGGTCACTGTAGGAAATCTTTCTCTCTGTGAAATGTCCTGAGCATGGGACAGAACTCCGAAGTCTGGCCCTGAGACCTCCTATATGGCCTCAGGGTGATGTGAATGTGTGATGCATGATGACGAAAGGAGTACTCTTGTGCTCCACTGTGTTTCAGAGTTGGGTGTGGAAGGTGGTCCTGGCAGTAGCGCTGCTCATCCCCGTCAGATGTCTCTGTGCCAGCTGTTCATCACCTACTGTGCTGTCAGGAGAGCAGTGGAAATGAAGGGTGAAGTGAACAGTGCCCCTCAGAGGGTTTTCAAGCTCCACCACTCGAATCAACACTATGCAAGGAGAGATTACTGCTGGGGTGTAAAGTTCAGTGAACACCTTCATACCCACAGTGTGGCTGTGAAAGACATACGCACTACGTAAATTGTGGAGGCTGCCTGCATGAGTGTATCTGTAGCTATTCTGGCACTAGACAGTCTGTAATGGTTCCACGTGTTTAGATGTAAAACTGTTCATTTATCTTAGCAGTACTGACCCTATCAGCTATGTAAGCCTAGTTCCTTTTCTAACGGCGTACAGTTTTATTAAGCTGCTTTCATGGGCAAACACCTAGACTTACCACTAAACCCAAGGGAGTGATTGAGAGTATGTGATGATGCTACTGTATGTCCTGTGCCTCATGTTTTAAGCACACCCCTTGAGAAGAAAACCAACACTTTCTGTTCTTTCATCAGGCTGACTTTGACGGTGCAGCAGAAGATGTAAAAAAATTAAAAACAAGACCAACTGATGAAGAACTGAAGGAACTCTATGGATTGTACAAACAGGCTACCGTTGGAGATATTAATATTGGTATTCCTATATATGCTTCACAGTTACTCCCATATCTTGATGAAATCAAGCTAATGTTATGTAAATCTGCATGATAACCAAACATATGCATTTATTTTGGCAGAATGTCCAGGAATGCTAGATTTGAAAGGCAAAGCCAAATGGGAGGCATGGAACCTGAAAAAAGGTGTTACACCAATTAAATTTACATCATGTAGTCATGTTTATACCACAAATGAGGAAAGATAATGACTCCTGCTTTCCTTTACAGGTTTATCAAAGGAGGATGCCATGAATGCCTATATCTCTAAAGCAAAAGCAATGGTAGAAAAATATGGGATCTAGAATATTCAAAGTAATTCCCACTAATAATTAACTCTTCGGTAGCTAATGAACTAACTCTGTTGAGAACACTGCAATACTAACTCCTTACTGTGTAGTCTGACCAATATCTTTTAAACATAAACTGACTGTAAAGGGTATTTACATACATACTCTATTTTTAGATTGTATCTTATTCTAAATAAATTTGAACCTAATAAATTAAGCTTTCTCTAAGAACTGTGGATTTTTGTGGGTATTATATTTAGCATTTTTACAGGAGCAAGCAAACAAGCTCTAGAAGTAAAATAACAGCTGTCATTTTTTGCAAATGAGGTTATGGAATGAAGAGTTTGTGCACGTGCAAGATGAGAAGAGGGAAAAGATGAAACCTTTTTTTTTTAAGACAAAGCCAATGTATATTTTCAGAAAAACCCCTTTTAAAGAATTACAAAGGACAAATAGAACAACCCTTAGGCATAACTGCATGCAATGTACAGAAATAATGACTTATTATGAAGTGCTGTGGACTAATATTACACCTTGTGCTATTAAAATTGAGGGAAATACTCATAGACCAGCATTTTCTATGCATCTTGTTATGTGTTTTGTCAAGAAAATTTCATTAGAGGGTTCCAGCAGATAAAAGTGACCTCCAGGAAGCTCATAAAAGGATGTATCTCCACTTGTTAATTCTTGCCAACCTGAAAAAGATATGTCAGAAAAATGTCGACTATTGTGATAATTTTACATAACTATTTCAAAATTATTATTTAACAATTATTTTACATCCCATATCAACATTGAGACTGCTGTGTTGATTTGTTTTGTTTAAGAAGGAGATAAAAGACTCAAGAAAACTTCATTAACTAACTGATGAATTCAACAGGAAAATGTGTAAGTATAAGAGGAAAACCATTTAAGAAAAGTACCTTGTAAATCATATGGTTTATCATCACCCCCATTAAAGCAGGTAATATCACAAGAGAAGGGGATATCCATTTCTGGCTTCTCAAAACTGTGAACATAAAAAGTAGTCCTAAGACATTCAATAAGATACCCATAGTTGGAATTTGCTTTCACATACAAAATAGCTTTTTCGTTCTCCTCCAAAATCTAACAAAGTTCAGGAATTAGATTATGCAGAGCATCAGAAAAAATAGCACATCTGGAAGGTTCTTAGCTCCTTGCCCTACTGCAATTAGGTCTAAAATTGTAAAAAAAGAATGACCCGATAGTTAGGGGAGAAAAAGCTTCAGCCTGCAATAGAAATTCTCACCTCCCATAAACAATTATGTTACCTGCTTATATTCAAGTTCTAACGTTTCAGGGCTTTTCAGTGTCAGGTTCCTAAGACCAAAATGGGTCCCACATCCAACAGTATCGTTGTCTTTGCCAAGGTAAGAAACCTTAACCACTCAGCCACGTTGGCTGTCGTGTAGCACCCAGTGGGGACAGCAGTTAGGACAGAAGAAGCCTGGTTGCTCTCAAGGTGCCCAGAACACAGGGACTCTGCTTCTGGTTAGATTAGGGGATCTTGGATCAGGAGGCTGAATGCAGTGATCCTGAAGCATGATCAGCTGAGATTAGTAGCCTCAGAAAACAATAAAAGATGACAGAATATTCCCTTTTAGTGGCTGCTAACTTTGGATCCTCAGTAGAACTGTAATTCTACCATGACACGTTCACTACTGCAGCAACAGTTAGTTCACTATTGCAGTGGTTGATACTGGAAGCAATGTTTTCATCTAGGGCTTAAATACTAGAGAACAAGTAGAAAAACACACAAAGGAGAGAACTGTTTACTGTTTCATAATCTTTTTACAACAGAAATGAGAAAAAAATATGTAGAAAGAAAAACCCTGACATGATCACACACAAGTAAAAATGTAAAATACAAATATAATACAAAATTGTAAAACTTACGAAAATGTCTGAAGCACTTTAAAGTCTCCTTTAAAAGTAAGCAGCAGATGTTTCCTAATGTCCTCATTATGCAGAAGCTCAGAAGGAGTTCCTCCTACCGTTTGTAGATACTCAATAACTTCTTCATCTTTGGCATCAGATACAGAAATGGTTTTGATTGGAAGAATTGCTTCAGACTGTCAGTACCAGACAAAACAAATCAGGTGTTGCATATAATATACTTTAAATGATCTTTTAATTAAAAATCATTTTAGTAAAAAGTACAATAATTCTTCATCTCCAAAATACAATAGCTGATTAACATCCACAGAGAACACTTCTTGGAAAGGGTTAGTAAATTTACAAATTATGACTGAGCCAAATATCTTCCAGGTCTGAAACTTCCAAAGACAAATAACCATCAATTCAATTTTGTTCAAGTTTGACTCTTACTATTGAAATGCACTTAATAAAATAATCTGTTTAAGAGAAAGAAAAGCCTAGCAGTGAACATAAACCTGACTAATGTAGGACCGAAGAGACCAACTGATTATGGAAATTTGCGGGAATAACAATTGCTTCCATGAATCACCAGCTCATACTAAGGATTGCTAAGAAGCCCCCAAAACAGAAGAATGGAAACAGCAAATGCTGACTGAGGACAGGAGGACTGGGAAAAAGTCACTTCACTGCTGTTTTCCTGAGAAAGATTAGCAGAGCCAGCAGAACCTGAGAAGAAACTGATTAAAAATCCAACAACGAGCAAGGAGGGAAAGAAATTAAATGGACAAATGTACAGAGGATTGATGCAAGTGGTTTACGAAAGACTAGGTTAAGACAGTTATTTCACATGTTACAGAGAAGGGAGAGCCACTTAGTATTTTGGTTTGATTACTTTTTAAGCCAAAGGCCATATTAAATAACACAATATTCAAAAAAGGTAGCATTAGCTTAAGGACACTGTTCTCCTAAGGCTAAGGTTAGCTAGCAGCAGTGAATATTGTGTAGTGCAAAGTTCTGCATCCACCTCAGAAACAATTTCCTCTAAAAAAAACTTTTCTCCATAGATTCTGAAGCAATGCTCATCTTGTATTAAAAGTAATTTGCAGGTCACACTGTCAAATGTTATTTTTACTCTTGATAGCTGATGTACTGTTTTGTTTCATATTGTTAATGATTCTGCAACTTACATTTGGGGCATGTGCCCCTGATACAAAAAGATGGACTGGCTCTAGTCCATACTTTTCTTTCAAATGTAGTGCAACTGCAAAACTCAGGTAAGATCCAAAACTGCAGTGGAAAGAGAAATTAAAGCAAAGTAAGCAAAAACATACATAAAACCTGGAAAATGTAAACATAGTTTGAATTTCAGTGCTAACTGCATATCTTGAACAATTACTGAAGCCATATATGACATATAAATTATAATGAAATTCATTAATTGACATGAAGTGTATTCCTACACGGTCTAGTTTTACAAATCAAACTTTTTCTTAGTCTTTCTTTTAGTAGTTTACTTAATTTGCAATAAGAACATTTATTTTGAATACTTTGGACTAAACATTCTTCAAAATCTGTGTTTCACGAATGGTTCACCCCCCTGCATTCATATAGATCAAGAACAGACACAAATATGAAAAATAAATGCCATAATAAATTATAATTTATCAGAAACACATGTTCAGATGTTGTACCTGAAGCAATAAATAAATAACCAGAGTCTTTGAGAGCAACAGCATGTTTTAAGATGACTTGACAAAAGATCTTTGCAGAAGCATATTTTCCTAAAATTTTTGCAAATAAAACCAAGAAACTGTCTACTCAACGAGTTCAGAGACAGAAGCTCCTTCACCAGGGCATCTACAAATGTATATATTTTTACCTGTGACCAAAGAATGCAAATGGTTTCTCTTGCAATTCTTTTACCAAAACACTTGTAACCTCGTTAACCATGCTTGTCATGTCTTTAGCAAAAGGCTCATTAAGGCGAGTTTCTCTTCCAGGATACCTTACGCAGAACACTGCAAGAGGTGGAGGAAGCGAGAGAAAAGGATTCTAGTTATTTCAAATAGATACAGTAAAATAATTTTAATTTTTTTAATTATTATGCAGAATATACAGGTTATTTAAATTAATCCTTCTTACAGTTGATACTATGTTTTTGCTATTGCTGCAAATGTGTTTTAATCCTATGAGAGATTAGGTTTCCATCCCTTCCTTTACTCACAAATTGATCCGATTTACTCTCCAGTTGATCTGATTGATAAGTGCCTTGGCCAGAATCCACAAGGTCTTGATTTCAGCTGAGGTTTGAAAGCAACTTTATTACTTTATTACTATTAAGGTTAATAACAACCACAAAATCATTAATTTCAATAATAGTAAGTTAAGGAGTGTGTAAAATACATCCTTCCAAGGGCAGCATTAGAAAGTTAGACTGTATTAGCATTGTACATAGTAATTATATTGTAATATTGTAATTAATGTACATAGTAACAGAACATTACACATAGTAAAATGTGTAATCATAGTATACACTGATAGACATTTATGTTTATTTATATTTATACGGAAGGACATTTTACATACTTTTATTATATTCCTTTCAAAATTGGGGATTTTCCTCTCACTGTTTAGTGAAAGTTAGGAATGAATAGATCAGAAAAAAATGTTGATTTTCCAAACTCTCCTTGACATAATGCATACTGCTGAACTCATGTGGAAGTAATGGGTCAGACACAAAGTATTTTAGAACAGAATAAACCACTACCTAATACGATACTAGCAGCGCAGAAATGTTTGCATCTTCTGTACTTTCTTTCTGCAGAAACCATCTGTGAGAAACCATGCTACACCCCGATGTTACTCATCTGTGTCTGCAGTTGCTCCTAGGCTATTTTCTTAGTAACTTTGTTGGAAGTAGTTCCAGTGGGAAGAACCCTCTTTTCTTTCTTTCTTTCTTTTTTTTTTCTGTTTCAAGGAAAATTTAATGTGGCTCATGCAACTGCTTACCAGAAAGCATATGAGCATTTAGAGGACTGGTACAACTGCAATGGCAATGCTTGTAAATATGAAATTATTTTTTTCTCTGTGGAAGGTCTGTAAAATGGCCTTGGTCCCTCTTCAAATCGTTTAAGCAATGGATCTTTTTTACTGCTGATATAGCTTGGGAGCAATGAGAAATACTTTATAGCGTAACTTAAAGTCATTTCACTATTACAAATTCATAGTTTGAACTTCAGTTTTGATACAAGAAGTGCAAACAATGGATAACAGATACTCTGTGCAGCCTCTCAACATTAAAAATGGTTCTCATATCTTCACCGTTACCCTGGCATGTGTATTATGTTTGTGAATCATAACAATAGGTTCTGAAGCAGTCAACTATACTATAGTCTTGTGAAACTTAGCTCTGAGGATGTAACCTTTAAACCTAGCCAAATATAACTTGATGCAAAGTGGTACAAAAAATGCACCCTGATGGAAATGCGAGTTCCTAATGAATGCTAGTTCCATCCTTTCTGGAGAAGACCCATTGGACAAAGATTGCAGTGATCTCAAGAATATTATTTTCCATTCAAAAAATTGGTCTACTGTGTATTTCAGACTTTCTTAACTTGTACTTTAACTACAAAAATTACAAACCTTCAATTGAGTTGCTTAATAGTTTGCCCCACTGAGCAAGTGGAGAAGTACCACCTCCAGCCCATGGAAAACAAATCAGTCTACAGAGAGCATTTGGCCTTTTGTGCACACAAACAATCAGCTTCTCCATTCCTAAAAAAACCAAAACCAACAAGGAAATAGCATTTTGTTCTAGAACAGGACTCTTCAGGTATAGGAAAACTAGATTGAATTAAGTGTACATTTAAACAACGGCCTACAATATTTTCCATCATCAGAACTGCTTGTGTTACAACAACAATTTGTTAGATATGAGGTAATCTTCCTGCAACAGTGTAAACCAGTTCTGCTTTTACAAATGATGATGGAATAATATTAGGCAATACCCTCAGTTAATTTTTTCTCAGTCACCAACCACAACAAATATTACAAACAGCAAAATAGAGTGCTACAGGATTTCAGGATGACCATTTAAAAAACTAGGCTTTTAGAATATACACAAAAATATAAGGTCTATCTAAAGAAATAGAAAATATAAGCACCACCTAGTTCAATGTTCTCTCTACCACAGTGGTAAAATAGATCTCTAGGGAACAGCAGGATTTCTTTATATACAGGAATCATCTATGAATGTTTCCTGGGTTCTGGTGTTGGACCAAGGGTTGGACTTGATGGTCTCGGATGTCTTTTCCAACACGGTTGATTTTATGATTCTATTAATTACTCTTTCATGTATTTTTCCTGTTTCCCCTTAAATTCCTGTGACCAGTTGGCATCTACAATGTCCTCTTGCAATGAGTTGCACAGCTCTACTATAAAGAATGATGCATAAAGAATTATGTCCTTTTTTGTTTTTAATCTGACTCCTAAAAATTCATTTGATGGACACAGGGTAGAATAGTAAAGAGAGTGAATAGTGCATCCCTCAGGGTTTGCCACTGAGCATTTTTAAGGTTTTCTGTCATTCTGTCTCTGCCCTCCGTCACCTGAATGAAAAGGCCTGGCTTGCTTAGGTATTCCTCATATGGCACTAATGACCATCATCACTGCCCATCTCTGGACTACTAATTTTGTTATTTTCTTTTAAGATGGTGGAGTGAACAGAGGCACATTCAGCTTTATCACAGCAGCTTTAGTATTTTCATTTAGTGACTCATAGAAGTAACAGCTGAAGCAAGATTTATAAGTACTCCCTCCTTCTTCCCAAGAAGGGAAAATAGCATTGAAGATGCCAAGTTCATTGTCTCTTAACGTCATATACTACCTTTACTGTCTGAAGAAAAAAAGCAATTCTCAACCATTTCTATACTTCTTTCCCAATTTTCATGTTCTTTCGAAAGAACCTGGGAACAGCATGTGCAACAGAAATACTTGGTGAAGATAAATTCATTAGAAATATATTGATAAATAATTTTTATGAAATGCAACCATTAGGATAAACTCCCATTTCTTGTTAAAAAGATTGAAAAGAAATACTAATTAGGGGATAACAAGCAGCAAAATTCCATTTCTGAAATGCTGCAAATCATTAAGGGTGTTATTTCTTGCCTTGAAGGCAGCTTAGTCACCATAAAATACATATGTGCCTACATGCAGTCTTTTTTCTCTGTACAAAAAGTTTGAGAAATGTAACCAGACCAGAATAAGGAGCAATTCAGACCTTAAAACTACATAATACAAGCAAGGCAGAAGAAAACTGATGCAAATGTTGCTGTGGCAGTTGCTTGATTTTCACGTGTTTAAACTGAGAAGTTTGTCAACATTTGTTAAGAATCTCTTCAAAGAAACAATAGGAAGAACAAGCAAAAGAAAACGAAAAGTGTATCAAAAATCATGGGACAGACAATTTGAGCTTAAAAGTAGCTGAAGGATAGTGGAACCAGTGCTGCAGAAGACATAATCCCTCTGAAGGATTAATTTAGCTTCAGTTAGTTCCATTTACACAGTCGCATCTTCCACAGAAAGGCACAAAGCCTCAAACATTTTTGAAGCCAGTGTTTTAACTTAATGGTCAAATAGCAAGAGAAAAATCTCTTAAACTATTCCAAAGGCAATATAAAAATTTCAAGCATGATAAAGAAGCACATTTAGTCAAAGTCCTTAGATTATTAAAAGATACATCACCAGTCACTGAGAACCTTTCCCACTTTATAGTTATACAGATTTATCCCATCACCATCCAGCTTATTTTAGACACAAATACCTGAACAGTTGGGAAGACCACCAGTGCCAGGAAATGACAGCCCGAGGGTGGATCCACTTCTCTGCGCTGCACAGCAAGAAGCTGCGCACCCACCTGCTTTTAAGTCTTTTCTGGACTCAAGGGGAGGAGCCCACACCCAAAAAAGGGCAGGACACAGCATCCCAGAAGGCAGATAGAAGCATCATGTGTTAGATGTGACACACAGAATTTGGCAGAAATATAAGGAAGGCACACCTCATTAATCCCCATGATTTAGAACGCACAGGTTGGCATGCCCATGACAGAACAGAAGCTGTAGCAGTTTCAATACACGGGGGCCCACAACCTCGCTGACAAAAAAGCCCACATAAAAAGAGAAGCCAGCCTTTTTCAAGAACTATATCCAGAAGGACAGCACTCACACCTTGGCTGCAGAGTTTTATAGTGTTCTGAAAATGCTGATGTAGGAGGCCATCACATGATTTGATTAAAACACTGCACTTGTTATTAGGCCAGTTGCAATTTCTGCAAGTTGAAAGACAGCATTTCCTGAACTATGCACTGTGGTTACATATGCTATGGTTACATACTCATTTCATGTGAGCTACCATGTTATGCTCCTGGTGACCAGATGCTGTCAGTATCCTAAAAACATCAGTGTATTTGTAACTGCATTTGTAATACTAGGAAGACTGGCTTTCCCCCACCCCCACCCCATTTTTCTTTTTAGTGTTACTCTACCAAGAGTATCAGTGACAATAATAATAAAAATATTCACAAACAGTGATAAAAACTAAATAACCTGAGTGCCAAAATGAGTTTTGATGCTTAACTTGGACATGTAGGCAGAACTACTTTGTGCTTTTCACACTATTCTTAATTCTTATACATTTCTCTTCATCATATCTAGGAAACTGAAAAATCTACAGTGTTAAGAGAAAAGCCTACCTTTTGACCAGCCAGTCATTGAGCACTGCTCCTTTCCCAAACGAGGTCTTCAGTCTTCTACTCATTTCTAATTTCTGCTTTCCTGGGGAACCTTAAATCAACCCTTGTGGCTGCAGGCTCTGCAGTGAGGGTTGGTCCCATGCCCTGCAGCTGCCACTTCCAGAAGCCAAAAGTACAAACTCACAGTACTTTTATGTTGTAATTCAAAGGTTTTATAGTATATTCTGTGTTGCAAGGGACCCACATGGATCAAGTCCAGCTCTTCAAGTGAATGGCCCATATGGGCATCAAACCCACATCCTTGATGTCAATAGCACCATGCTCTAACCAACTGAGCTGTGGAGTACAATGAGGCGCACCTGTGCTTTGAAGGTAGACGATTTAAAGCATCTTATATTGGCTAGTCCTGACTTGTGCTGCTGTGCCCAATACTGCTTCTCCATATGATATATCTGCTAGTAGAGGTATTTGATTATGAAGTACAATTTGTAATAAAGTACCTAATACGCTTTGTTTATTCCTACCTCAAATTATGCCAACAAAATAATCTGACACCCAACGTTAATGTTACAAAAGCCAGCATCAGGCCCAATAATAATATTCCTAAAAGTAATAAATACTACTGGAAACAATTATTTCCTAACTAAAGCTGAAAATAAAAGAGGTTAAGAATAAGATTTTGGAAGTATAACATTAATCAAATAGCAGTCTATTTCCTTAAAAATAATGAAATGACAATTACTTGGTTTTGTTTGCCTTCTAATTTTTTCTTTGAGTCAAATGACTAGAAAATTTGTTGGTTTTCATATAAAACATGAAAATTTTTAGAAATTAAGTAGTTCCAGGAGATGCCACTTTTATCCAAAATTATACTTGGTCTTTCCAGGGCTAAAGGTAAAAGAGGGTTTCACAGAACTGATTTGTCAACTTAGCACTAGTATACAGAGTAGAGTAGACTAGACTGTTTCAGTTGCAATGGTCACCTCATCCAACTGCCTGACCAATTCAGGGCTGACCAAGTTAAGGCATGTTAATAGGGATTGTCCAAATGCCTCTTAAACACTGACAGGCTGGGGGCATCAACCATCCCTTTAGGAAGCCTGTACAATCTAAATCTCCCCTGGCACAGCTTTGAACCATTCCCAAATGTCCTGTCACTGGATACCAGAGACCAGAGCTCAGCACCTCCCTCTCCTCTTCCGCTCCTCAGAAAGCTGTAGAGAGCAGTGAGGCCCCTCAGCCTCCTTTTCTCCAAACTAGACAAGCCCAAAGTCCTCAGCCGCTCCTCAGAGTACATTCCTTCCAGCACTCTCACCAGCTTTGTTGCCTTCCTCTGGTAACAAAGGCAACATCCTTGGATGCATTCAAGGACTTTCACAACCTGCTTAAACTGTGGGGACCAGAACTGCACGTAGAACTCCAGCTGAGGTCACACCATTGCTGAACATAGTGGGATAACCACTCTTTTGGCCAGATGGTGATGTTGTGTGTGATGCACAAACCCCAGGATGCAGTTTGCCTTCTTGGTTGCCTGGGCACACTGCTGACTCCCTGACTCCCCTACACTGAGCCTGCTGGCAGCCAGCACCCCCAGATTGCTTTCTGCAGGGCTGATCTTCAACCACTACTTTCTTAATTTATGCTTGTGCCCGGCATTACTCCATGCTAGGTGCAGAATCCGTCAAAGTGACTTGTTAAATTTCATCCTGGTAACCATAGCTCAGTGCTCCAATCTCTATCCAGATTCCTCTACAAGGCCTCTTTTACCTCTAGGGAGTCAACAGCAGATTCCAGTTTGGTATCATCAGCAAACTTGCTAGTGGTACATTCCGCTCCTGCATCCTGATTGTTGATAAATATATTGAAGAGAACTGGAACTAGAACTGAACTCCGCGGGACAGGCCTGGTGATCGCCCGCAGCGATCGCCTGCAGCCATTCAGTACAACCCTTTGAGCTCTGCCTTTCAGCTGGTTCCTCAGCCAATGCACCGTGAACTCCCACCAAAAGCCTTACTATAATCCAGAAAAGATACATCCATGGCCTTCCCTTAATCCACTTAGGTGGGCGATCTGCCTGTTGATTGCATTATTCTTTAAATGCCTTTCAGTAGTACGCAGTATAATGTTCTCCATAATTCTTTTAAGAACTGATGTTAGACTAACAGGTCTGTAGTTCCCCAGGCCTTCTCTCAGGCCCTTTTTATGGAAATAACATCAGCTGGGTTCTAGTCAAACTTCCCAGCCTCTCAAGACTTTTGGCAGACCAAGAGGGGTCCTGCTATAACATCCACTAGCTCCTTCAGTACTCCAGGATGAATCTTTTCAGACCCTATGGAATTCATGTTTAGAAAGTCATGGTTAGTAAGCTGATACATCTGGTCCCCTACAATTTTAGTGTTCATAAATGGAAAGTCTCTGATTCCACACTCGTGGAACTCATGCTTCTCTAACTCAGGCAGTCCAAGGTCTATCAGTATTATTAAATACCAAGGGAAAAAGGCATTGAATGCCTCTGCTTTTTCTTCATCCCTATTAATCAGATGACAATCTTCACCAAGAATTGTTTTCTTTAGACCTCCTATTGTAATCAATGTACTTGAAAAAGCCTTTCTTGTTATCTGAACTGGCCATTTTCAATTCTAAATGAGCTTTGGCCTTTTGTGTCTTCTCCTTGCTTACACAAACCACAATCCTATACTGTTCCTGCAAAGCCTGACCCCACTTCCAGAGATCACACAATTTCTTATTCCTTTTGAGGCCCATGAGTAGTTCCCTGTTCAGACAAGGTGGTCTTCTGCCCCACTTGCTTTACATGACTCAGTGCAATGTTGTTCTTAAAGACTGACCAGTACTTGTGGACTCCTAAGCCATGAACACAAGATTTCCAGGGTATTCCCATGGACTGTTTCTGCTAGCATTGCCACCCTCAGATGATGCCATACCAACCTTCAGCTTCCCTGCTTTAATCTCGTTATTTCCTTCCCCCCATCAATTCTTCTTTAAAGCTCTCTTGATCCATCTCCCCAGTTTATGCCCAGAGACACATCTCCACCTCAGGACAGGTGGATCCCACCAGGCCCCAGCATAGCTTGCCTCTTGAATGTTCCTCCATGGTTTAAAAACCCAGTTATGGTGAATGCCGTAGTCCGGGAGTCAGGTATTGATATTCTGGGCTCACCTGTTTCTTCCAAAGTCTCTTTCCATTACTGGGAGGACTGAGGAAAACATTACCTGTGCTCTGGAATTTTTTAGCATTCTTTCCAGGGCTCTTTTTATCGTCATACTGTTTGTACCCATGTGAAAGAACATGAGTGAATAGTAGCATGAAGGTTGTATTAGGCTGTTCAGTCTTGTGGTGATATCCCTAATTTGGGCCCCAGGGAAGCAGCAAACTTCTCTGAAAAGAGGGTCTGGTCTGCAAATGAGTGCTTCCAGTCACCAGTGCCCATAACTCACCATTGTTTCTTCTTGGTGCATGTCTTAATGCAAGTTTTATTGCAAGAGGTTGATCTCTCTGACCTTGACAAGATTTTGTACAAGGGTCTTGTACCTGTTCTGTCAGGGTATCTTAGAGGGTAAGGAGGGGTTTCTTTTACCACTCTGTCCTGTAACATTGTTCCACCCCTCCTTCCTTCTGGTGCAAAGCAGATCCAGGACCTGCCTCCCTAGTGGCCATGCTGAGCTGCTTTCCACATGTCACAGATGGCAGACTATGGTTCCACTGATTAATCTCCCTCTCAAACTACTGAATGCTCCTCAGAAGTTTCTCATCCTTAAAGCTTTCTTAGTTGCTGTTTTATGGCAATTTTCAGTCTCTTTTGGACTACAATAGAAACATAAATGGATGTAATGGTAAGTCAGGAAAGTATGACTTTCAGAAATCATAAAGAAATAGTGCAAGAGTAGATTTTTATCCTGTTGTTATTAATACCAAAAACTCACCAATGTAATTCTTGTTTAAGGACAGAAACGTTGCTTGGTTAGTTGCAATTCACCAATAGTCATTTAATATGACTCATTTTGAGCACATATAGATCCCTGAAGTAAAATAACAAAGAAGCATGTGTTTCTCAGTTGCACACCTAGGATTTAAAGAACCATGTTGTGTATGTTGCTTAATAAAGATTGACATTTATTACTGACAGTTGTGAAATACATTGGATTATATGTACTGTGAGCAGTGTAATTTGTTTTCTCCTCAGTCCTTATTTATTGTCTTTGATTATTTATTATTTTAACAAATCTGCACAGTTTTAGCACCTTTACTGCAACTATACTTCATTTCCTAGTCAATCAACTTCAAAGGATAAAAGTAAGGATGCACTTAGATCTTTCTCTTAAAAATGATCATTAGCTGCGTATATGAAGAGACGTGAAATTAAGCAGATCTCACGCCATCCAAAGGAAAGCAGGAGTAACCCTCATCTCTATAGAAGTCGTGGGACAGAGACAGTCAAATGAATCCCAACTTATTATTACTCTTAAGTATGACCTCAGAGGATTATACACAAGAAATAAAACAGAAGCCATGCAGATTAAACATGGAGGGAACAGTGGATTTTGCAGAAGGGAAGACTTAATTCAGAGATGTATTAGCAGGATCTCCTGGAGAGATTTGAAAAGATGAGTGACACCAGAGTATTGAAGAGATCTCACTTGGAATTCTGCCTATAGTATTGTTAAGATTCTTCAAGAAAGGTGAATTCAAACCAGATCTGATGCAAGGCAAGGCTAGAAAAGAGAACCTATGAAAGAGGATACATTACCTTTTACAAATACACTGGAAGATGATGGTGAGGGAAGTGAGGACATTCCAAGAAATGGTTAAGGTTGTTCATGTTCTAGCCATGGATAGAAATAAGATTTTTAACCACTGTACCCATCAGATTGTCCAACAGCTCCAGAAAAGCTGCCTGCTTTAAGCTGGACATTCAGGTTATTAAAGTGGTTCTAGAACGTGTATTTGTCATGGCTTGGTGAATACTTCCAGCGCCATGCACCTATTAGCTTGATGCAGGAATGAGTCTGTATGTCTGTGAAGATAAGCCAGCCAGTTGCAATGCTGCAAAATAGTCTCGTTAACAGAGAACTTTTTAATTTAACAAATAGAGGCCTTTGTATTATTGTATGTAATGCAAAGAACATGCACTGAGGTCAGTCTGCTAAGGTGTGCTGAGCAAGCAAGAAAATAAAATTCAAAAGTAGTCAGAGAAAACAGGAAGCCTGGAGGGACTAGAATACAGTAGAAAAGCTGACTTCCCAGTCTTACAAAGAGAAATAAAGTGTGAAAGTTAAATAAAAACAGTCAGTTTATATACAGGCCTGGCCACAGGAAATAAAAGAAAACAAAGTGGAAATCTCTGTTGCTGTCTCAGTAGAAGACAAACATGTGCTGACCTATCTGAAGCATCATAGTAATTGATAAAAGTGCTTCAATGGTACAACCAAAGAAATCGCTTCTTAGAAAGAACAAAACTCCACCAAGACCATTTTACCCCTGTTCCTGCCCTGTGGTCGGCTGGAGATGCAGAAATGTACAATGGCAAGATCCCAGCTTCCTGGGATCCTCTTCCAGAGGAGAACTGCCTAGTCTTTCTCCTTGCAGCAAACTCTATAACCACAGAAATGGTGTCTGGGTTCAAAAAACCAGATTTTATAAGAATTAAAATGCTAACAATGAACCTTCAAATAAATCTGTGCAGGAAACATACTCTCAGCTGCCTCAGCCCCCATGGCAGTCTTTAAACTTCTACCTAAGGGTGCTCAGATGCTCCCTGTCTGGGCACTCTACAAAAGTCACCATTAATGTAAAGTGCGACAGTCTTAGCAATGCAAACTGCTGTTCAATCACAACTTCCCACAGTAGCAGGGTCAGGCATACAAAATGATAAACCCAAAAAAACTCCATATACTATTGGCTCAGATACATCACACAGCTTAGAAACTAAATTTTAGTCTCTAATTTTGGAGACTCATTTAGAGCTTTAGGACAAAGCTCACTCTACAGAGATTCTTTCAGTCAGAAAAGACACCTAAAATACTCAAGGCAGGGATGCAAATTTCAGTACCTACTACTGTAGAACAAGAGCACATGACATGGTCAGTTGTACAAACACTCCCCCCTTCTCTCTCTGTCTTTCTGTAAAGCAGAGTCACATAAGCTGCCAACACTCAGTCAGCCAGTGAGACTGAACAGCAGTGCTAATTTGATGAGAATTTGTGTGCCATTCAGCGTTTGACCCACTCTATCTGCCACATAAATTAAGTGAAAAAAGTGGGTTTATCCCATTTACTTCCATCACCATGCACAAAACTATGTCCTGGAAAAAAAAGGGGAAGGATGACCATAAGCAACTGAACAGTGCATCATATCTTCAGATGCTCTAAACCAGACAAGGCTTGTTTTTCTTTCCTTCACAGTTGCTGGTGTTGTCCCTGTCAGCAACTCTTGATGCTAAACTGACAAGAATCTGGAGAACTAATACTTTGCAGAACTGCTACTCTGGAGAAACAGCAGCTTCAACAGGAAATCCCTCCATCTCCCACCATTGCTTCTGGTGGGAGACAAAATCAAAAGGGAGGGAGGGAAAGTGAAAGGACATAGCAGGTTACGAAAGAGAGAGTTCTGCTTTCCCAAAAGTAATAGTAAGCAAAGTAGCATCAGGACTTACAAGAATAAAACACGAAACCTAGTAGGGTACAGAGAGACCCTGCTTAGAGAGAGAGGCATAAATGCCATAGGTAATGGGAATCTGCTCCTTTCATATCCTGTACATAGAAGATACACATAGCACAGAGAACACTGGCACTACACTTTTACCACAGCAATCCAGATCTTGCAGCAGGATGATCACATGCACACTCTACTTCCACTCTAAAAGAAATAAGGACATGATTAAAATAGGCATGGTGTTTATAGATATCAAGGTTTAACCTCATAATGCAGTAGTACAGAATGTTTTCAGTGGACTTGTCCATTTCAAGTTGATTACCCAGTGACAAGCAGTAGCTGCAAAGCTCCACAGGGCTATGCCTGCTCTTTAAACACAAATATTTTCATGAGAGGATAGTGAAATTCTCATGCCTGCTCACTACCAACTCTCTCAATCTGAAAGTTCTGCATTCATTACTGGCTTTCCAGCATCCTACGGGTGATGTTGTCCCATCAGTTGGAACTAAATTCCTGTGTCCAGACCTATTGGGTCCCCATCAGAAGAGGAAATTCAGTAGCAAGGACTCCAGGAAAACCATTCCAAGTGTTTTTTTTCCTCACACAAGCAGAAATGTGCTAATAAGGAATGGAAACAAATAAAAGAATCCCTCAAAAATCAGTAATGGGGCCAGGTTTCTTAGTCATAGCATGACCTACAGTAGTATTTGATGGCAATAGGAATAAAACCATATTCAAAATCGATTATTGCCTTTGCTCCAAAGAAAGCTGTTGTAGGGAAGGCAAGTATGGGGTGCAGAGAAACTGTGCAGTTTAGACAGTAACCTAAAGGAAAAACATAACTTAGATGTAGATTTGTTATCAGTTTTGTCTGATCTTGCTGATAATGAAAGAGACAATCTTTCCCTTCCCAGCATCTCGGAGTGTAGCATTCTACACTCATGTTTTTATCAGCACTAGCTACTACATATCTCTGTAGTAAGAGCACATTGTTTAAAATAATGAAATATGAAAAAAAAATGAAATAAAATAAATGAAATAAAAGATTAAAATAAAAGGTGAAAACTAATACTTATCCTGTAGTTTAGTTTTCACCAACATCAGTCAGCTGACCCTATACAGTACATCCTCCCGCTAAAAAGGAAAGGAGCCTTTTTGCAAGCTTGGACCTGCTTAATCCAGTTGGACAGGTGCATGCTGATATTACATATACAGCCCCAAGGTTTGGATGTAAAAGACACTACTGTGCCAACCTAATGGAGTAATTTGTCCTTAAGAATTATTTTAAAACTCTTCCTGAAACAAAGAACCTGCAGAGTCTGTCTTACTGGCTTAAAGATACATTCATCTGATCTAATTTTCATTCAGGAAAAAAAAAAAAAAAAGCTGTACAGAAGAATTACTAAATGAATAAATAATCTTCTTTGGAGGATATTCATCAGAATCTGGATTTATTTGAAATAACATATCTGGTTAAGAAAATGTCTTTTTTTATTTCTCTTGTTTTTTACAAGGCAGTAGTTTTTTTAAAAAAGGATTATTTCTAAATTGTCTTTATATTTTCCTCTACTTCCACCTATTGGCCTTAAACCTAAGATCTACCTTAGACCCTATTACAATAAAGAGAGGATATATAAGACTTCTTCTACATAAACAAGCTTTTATTTTATTAACTATAAATTTTAAGTTAGAATTGTGATCTGATGAATTAATGGCTGACAAATCTGCTTTAGAGTGTTCACAGTCAAAAAGAATGTTTCTTTCTAGAACTATTGGCAAAGAAGTGGTTCAGTGTGAGAAAAAAAACAAAAAAACCCTGTATTTTAAGAAAGTATTTCCTGGTTTATATTCTCTTTACATTTAGAATTATGAAAATAAAATTCTAGTTCTATAAAGAGCTGTATAAAAGATTAAGAACTATTAGTTAAATCTAGTTCTATAAAGAGCTGTATAAAAGGTTAAGAACTATCAGTTAAATCACAGAGTAATTTAGGTTGAAAGGGACCTCTAAAAACCATATAGTCCAAGTCCTGTCTTGTTAGGTGTTGAGTATCTCCAAGGATGGAGACTCCATAAGCTCCCTAGGTAACCATCTTCCACTGATTCAGTCACACTTACACTGAGGATATGTTTCTTTCTATCTAATTCCTTGATGTGCCTTGTATCTGCAAGTCTTTTTTCTTTTTGCTGAGTATATCCAAGAAGTGTCTGGATCTGTCCATCCTCTGCATATCCTTTCATTAGGTAGGTGAAGACATCCTCATTTAGCACTCCCTTCTTAAGACAAAACCCTTTATCTCAGACTCCTTGAGCACCACAAACCCCAGTCATGATTGCAGGGGACCCTGCCACACTCACTTCAGTATCTCAACATCCTTCTAATACAGCAGAATTAAACACGGACACAGATTGTGGTATACCAAAGAAATTTCTGATTATTTTTCAAACATGGTTTGGAGACATAGGCTTTCAGGGCACGATGAGCTTTTACATGAGCTTTATGCATTGCCATGGCATCACCTTACAGTAGGTGGACAAGTACTAATTGAGAAGTACATTTGAAAACACAAGTGACAACAAAACTACTTTTGGACTGACCAGATACTAAGACAAATGGACCAACAGCCCCATCCTGCAGGGAACATAAAGCCAAAGGTAAAGAAACATGAAGTGCCTGCAGCAGAGAGTTGTTTTGATATTTCCCCAAGGAAAATATATTGTACAGCACACAGTCTAGAAATCTGTAGAATGAGTCTTTGAGAACGGCAGGAGTGTGGTATTTGCCAGTGGGACAGCCCGGGACCAGAGAAGTTTCTTGGGTATCTCAGCACTTGTAAATTCTACATCCTAGACCCATCCCATTTGGGCATACATGAGTTAACTGCTTGTCTGCAGATTCTGGAAGCCAGGCAGAAAGCAGCCCTATCCCCAGAAGGCAAGTAGAACCAAGTCTACTTACAGAATTTAGATTTTAGGTATTCTGTTCACCTCCCACCAATAACTGTAGAAGTGGAATAGTGAGCTGAGAGTCTAATGATCCACTTCACTGGTAGGTACAGAGTCTGCAGTCAAAGCCACTGGATTGCTTACAGCTAGGCAGGCATCTGAGAAGCCTTAACAAGTCAGGGCATCAACGACTTGGTATCTGCAATCCTGCAATAACAGAGCTGGCAGACTGTAGGACAGTTAGGCAATGTAATTCTCTACTGATTTTATCTTCACAAGAGGAATGAAGTTTGTGCAGCTGATGGATACCAGTATGTCTCAGTGTCCTAAACATTGTTGTTGAAATTTCTGTTTCTGTTGAAATTTTTTTCAACAAGTAGAAATGTTTTATTTCTGCAGCTTTATCAGTACCTTACACATTACTATATCATATCTGTTTGGTCACTGTCGTGGTTTGATATAGTAATGTGTAAGGTAACATCTAAAAGCTGCAGCAGAAAATAAAAAAAAAGTCATTACCAAATGAAATTCTGTCCTCCAGAAAGCTGTACTAATCTCTTTACTCAGTCTTGAAAAAAATGTGGAAAATTATTACAGAGAAAATTACTTGTGGGAGACTGCAGCTGATATGCTCACAGCATCAATAATAAAAAACTGTTGAAATAAATGATTAAAATGAAACACAACATGCATTCCCCATTTTGCTAACTGGACCTTCCAGGATGTTGAAACTGCAAACATACAGACTACGTGGATGCTTCAAAAGTGAGTGTGACAATATAATCTCCCCTCCTTTCCTACTGTCTCTGCTGTCAGTCTGGTTCTGCTGCGACACAATTGCATACCCTTTGCTCAGATTTTTTAGGAAATCATTAAATTGAGAGAAAGCTCCATAAAGAAGTCCACAGAGTTGAGCCATTAAATGTAAGAGAGATAAAATTTGAGATAAAGGATGCTGAGATAGGGCCAGGTAAGAAGCTCAAGAGGAAGAACATCCATGTGGAAAGATGGTTAATATCTCAAGGGAAAAAATTAGGTGGAAGACAGGCTGGATGAGGGGATTGAATGTGCCCTCAGTAATTTCACAGTTGGGTGGGACTGTCAGTCTGCTGGAGGGTAGGGTCTGGACAGCCTGGATCAATGGGATGAGACCAATGGTGCAAAGTTCAATAAGGGAAAGTGCTAATTCACACCCTTGGGTCACAACAACCCCATGCACTGCTACAGCCTTTGGGAAGAGTGGCTGGAAAGCTGCCTGGAAAAGGACCTGGATTTGCTCATCAACAGCCAGCTGAATACAAGCCAACAGTGTGCCCAGGTGTCCAAAAGGGCCAACAGCATCCTGGCTTGTATCAGACATACTGGGGTCATCAGGACTAGAGAAGGGATCATCCCTCTGTTCTCAGCATTTGTGAGGCCACACCTCAAATACTCGGTTCAGCTTTGGGCCCCTCACTAGTAGAAAGACATTGAGGTGCTGGAGTGAGTCCAGAGAAAGGCAATGAAGCTGGTGAAGGGTCTGGAACGTAAGTCCTATGAGGAGTGTCTGATGGTACTGAGGCTGTTTAGCTCGGAGAAAAGGAGGCTTAGGGGGGACCTTATCACTCTCTACAACTACCTGAAAGGAGGTTGTAGCAAAGTGAAAGCTTACCCTTTTCCATCTGATTAGTAAAGACTCTATAGGTGGTTAACATACTAAAACTCATTTAGTAGGGCATTAATCTTGACTATCTGTTGGACATGTTAACCACAAAGTAACTTCTTTCCATATAACTGCACATAGCAAGAGGTGACAGAACAAAGTGGCCCGGGAAAGGAGAGTGAGATAGGTGTGTTGGTTTTGGCTGGGGTAGAGTTAATTTTCTTCACAGTGGCTAGTATGGGGCTGTGGTTTGGATTTGTGCTGAACACAGGGCTGATAAAATATAGAGATACTTTTGTTATTGCTGAGCAGGGATTACACAGACCCACGGCCCTTTTGTACTGCCACCACTGGTAAGGAGCTGAGAGTGCATGGGAAGCTGGGAGGAGGCACAGCCAGGACAAGCGACGCCACTTGACCAAAGGGATATTTCATACCGTATGACATCATGCTCAGTATATAAAGTGGGAGGGAAGAAGGTGGAAGCTGGGGGCATTTTGAGTGATGGCATTTGTTTTCCCAAGTAAATGTTATGGGTGACAGAGCCCTGCTTTCCTGGGGACAGCTGAACATCTGCCCATGGGAAGCAGCAAATTAATTTCTTGGTTTGCTTTGCTTGTGTGTGCATCTTTTGTTCTCCTTATTAAACTGTCTTTATCACAGCCCATAAGTTTTCTAACTTTTACTCATCTGATTCTTCCCCTGATCCCACTGGTGGGGAATTGAATGAGCAGATGTATGGCTGGGGTTAAGCCACAACAGTAGGCAATGGGAAGTCATTTTGGCACCAAAAGCATATAGTAGAGAAGCAAACTGAAGGTGCCACTGCTGCAGATGGAAAGAGGAAAGAAGTCAAGCAACAAAGCCTTGTTCACATTAGCTATGAGTGAGAATGATGACTTTTGTTCTGAGCATAGCAGGTTATGTCACAGAAAATATTTAATTTATGGATCTGGGCTGAGCCATAGCTTTTCAGTGCACACCACCCATGTACACATGCAAGTGTCAGAGACCCCTTCAGTGAGCCCAAGAGCAGTACTGGGCAGTTGTCTCTGAAAGTGGACACCTCATTAACCATGGCAAGTAGGACTGTGTGGGCCTCACAAGTCTTTTCCAGCATAAGTGGTGCTTCACCATGTGGTGAAATATTTGCTCTATGATGTGACAACTGCTCCAAATCCCACACGCTCTCACTGCTGGTGGTTTCCGACTTAATCCTACTCCTGTGAAGCTGCAAGTCACACCCCACAAGCCTCTCTCCCACACACCACTTTAAAAGGTGGCACAGAATGAGTCTAGTCCAGACCTGCTCCACAGAAACACCCTTGCAGATTCCTGAGCTACTGCCCACCCACAAAGCACTTGGGCCATCTACCCTGGGCAAGGAGCCCCCCAGGGCCAGCCAGGGCTTGCAGCTGGGCTCAGTCCCGCTAAGGATGCCAGTGGAGTTAAGAACAGAGCCCATGAGGGACAGCAGCTGGGAAGAGCCCATGCCCTCAGCACAGCCCCAGCCATGCTTTCTCCCCATGTCACAGAATCATAGAATACCCTGAGTTGGAAGGGACCCACAAGGATCATTGAAGTCCACTCCTGGCCCTACACAGGACCATCCCAAAAATCATACCATGTGCCTGAGAACATTGTCTAAGTGCTTTTTGAACTCTGTCAGGCTTGGTGCTGTGACCACTTCTATGGGAAATCTGTTCCAGTGCCCAACCACCCTCTGGGTGAAGAACCTCTTTCTAAGATCCAACCTAAACCTCCCCTGATGCAACTTCAGGCCATTCCCTCAAGTCCTGTCACTGGTCACCATAGAGAAGAGATCAGTGCCTGCCCCTCCTCTTCCCCTCATGGAGAAGCTGTAACTGCAATGAGGTCTCCCCTCAGTCTCCTCTTCTCCAGGCTGAACAGACCAAGTGACCTCAGCTCCCCTCAAGGCCCTTCACTATCTTCACTGCCCTCTTTTGGACATTCTCTAGCAGCTTGATATCTTTCTTATATTGCAGTGACCAAACTGCACACAATATTCAAGGTGAGGCCACCCCAGTGCAGAGCAGAGCGGGACAATCCCCTCCCTCACCCGGCTGGCGATGCTTTGCCTGATGCCCCCACGACACGGTCGGCCCTCCAGGGCACTGCTGACTCCTATTCAACTTGCCATTGATCAGGACCCTGAGGTCCCCGGCCTCTCGTTCCCCCGTCTATACACCCAACCAGGGTTACCCTGTCCCAGGCGCAGAATCCTGCATTTGCCCTTGGTAAGCTTCACACGGTTGGTGACTGCCCAACCCTCCGATTTGCCGAGATCTGTCTACAAGACCTTCCTTCCTCCGAGGGAGTCAACAGCTCCTTCCAATTTAAAGCTGCTCTTTTACTCGCCCCCTCCCCAGGGCCCCCGGCGCGCAGGGGGCGGTCAGGCCGCTCTCTGCTCCCACCCCCGCCTCGCCCCGCCCCGCGCGGCTTCCGGACGCGCTGGGAACTGGGGCAGAGGCGACGGCGGCGGCGGGAGCGGCGGGCAGGGCAGGCAGGGCTGGCAGCGAGCCGGGCGTGTGCAGGCCGGGGTGAGTGGTGGCCTCCGCCGACCTCTTTTCTCGGGGGTGCGCGGCGGCGGGGCAGAGGGGTGGGCTCGGCTCGGATCTCTCCTTATCCCCGGCCCCGTCCGTCCGGGGCTCTCCGGGGCAGCTCCCGGGTGCGGGCCCTGCGCTGCTGTACACAGGCAGTGGTGCGGCGGGCCCCGAGCTGCTGTACACAGGCAGGGGTGCGGCGGGCCCCGAGCTGCTGTACACAGGCAGTGGTGCCGCGGGCCCCGAGCTGCTGTACACAGGCAGTGGTGCCGCGGGCCCCGAGCTGCTGTACACAGGCAGTGGTGCCGCGGGCCCCGAGCTGCTGTACACAGGCAGGGGTGCCGCGGGCCCCGAGCTGCTGTACACAGGCAGTGGTGCCGCGGGCCCCGAGCTGCTGTACACAGGCAGTGGTGCCGCGGGACCCGAGCTGCTGTACACAGGCAGTGGTGCCGCGGGCCCCCCGCCCTGCTCGGCCCGGCCCGGGGAGCGCGGGGTCGGGGGGCGCGGCCGGGGCCGTCGGGGAGGGTCTGCGGGGGCGGTGAGCCGGGGCCGCCAGCCGGGCCGGGAGAGTGTTCCACCTTCCCCAGTTATCCTCTGGTCTCGGGCGGGTGTCCCAGGGCCGACTGGCTTCTCCTCGGGAAAGAAAGCGACAGTCCTCGAGCTTGTTAATATCGACATGCCGAGCATGGGCATCGTTTCCCCCTGTTAGGTGTGTGCCTCCCGTGGCTGCAAGCCAACAAGAAGTCCTCGGTCCAGGCTTTGTCGGGGGGTGTTTCCTGATATGTCTTTTAGCGTCTCTATGGCGGGAGCGGGGGAGATTTGTCATCCAACTTGAGTTCGTGAATAATCTGTTTGGTTGTGCTGCAGATCTGCATCATGGAAAAGCAAGTACTTGAATCCGCAGAGGAGAGGACGTTTCAGTACCAAGATTCTCTGCCATCCCTGCCAGTACCTCCTCTTGATGAATCTTTAAGTAAATACCTCGATGCAGGTAATGATAACGTGGCATGTGATGTTTCAGCCGGGCTGAAGATGTTTGCGAAGTGGTTGTAGAGACAGATTTTATCAGCTGGTGTAATTGGGGTGTGGGATACACACAAACTTAGACTGCCAAAGGTCTTTTTCAGATTCAAACCTAAAACTTAATTGTCCGGAACAACCTGAATAAAAATTTTCATTTTATCCCTAATTACCTTTCTTCAGGGGAATTGGGCACGTGGAAAGGTTAACTCTTTGGTTTGAGGGTGGATTTTTTTAGTTGTTTTTTCCAACTGGTCTAATAGAGAAATATCTTTTATCTACCAATTTTGTTTTGCATAACTGCTTGTTTATGACTGTGTTTGGCCAGGATCTTTGTAAAAAAACCAGTTATTTCAAACTTTTCATTGGTGAGAAAGAAGAGCATTGACTAACTATACAGTAGTAGGAAAAGGCAGTGGTGAGCATTTATTGGATAACTTAACTTGAATAATTTCTTCCTTGAAATGTTGACTAGTCTAAAGAAGATCACATAAAAGTTTTGAAAATATATGACTGCACTTGTGTCTAGCTTTGTTTATAAAGCAGAGATGACTGGTTAGTTCTTTATTGTCAGGTCTTAATATATTGGGATTGACAAAGATACATTATCTTGATACAGTATCTTGAGATTACTTTCTTATGTTTCTTCAATTGTTTTCAGAATTCTGAGACATTGAGTTTTTTTTCTGGAACATCTACTTTGTGTCTTTACCATCTTACATGTATTGGAGAAATACTAACAGAGTAAGACCTGGAGTTCTCTCCTTAGCAGGAACATGCTACACGAGAACTTCCCTTTCCCAAAATAGAAATCCTGATGTTCACTCTTAGTTCCCATTTATTCTGAGTGTAGTGGAAATGGCCCACTTCTTTGGTGTTCATTGCCTCATTGCTTTTTGATGCAGAATGCTGAAATCGTGGTTTTAGAGCAAAAACGCTGTGTATGTATTCATGTCCAAAAAAATACATCTTCTTTCTGTTGTAATACAGTTGTGCTGTAACAGTAGTGAACCTGCGATAACCAAATTCCTGTTTAGTTTTGTTAGCTGAGCTGGCTCTCAAAGTTATTATACAACTCTCTCATGGAGTGATAAAATCTTGACAGTGATTTGTTTACTCTTGTTTTCTGGTTATGATCTGTGTTTTCATAAATAACTTACCACATTGTTTTCATGCTGAAGTTAGTTGCTGCTTACTCTTGCTTATACATAAATCATTCTATAACTTGCATCATTGTTGTTGGTCTCCTTTAGGCTCACTGGCAGTAGGAGAAAAGTTAATCCAGTATTTGCTGTCTACCACAGTCTACCCTTGTACAAATCACTTAAAGCCAAAGTGTGCTGTGCAGTTTTAGACACTAACTGTGCGGTTCTCATTGCTTAAGCTTGTTATTTGTTTTAGTCTTTGAACTTGAGTGAAGGAAAGGAGGTGCTTCTGAAGAACAATTCAAAACCTCCAAATGACTTTTGATAGAGGCTCTAAATCATTCCAGGGAAACTGTCTTTCGTTGGAGGAGGGCTCCAGGCACATGACATTAGTCAGGGTCCCTGTTGGTAAAGCATTTGTTTTTTTAAAGCCAGTCAACTGGAAAAACTATCTCTAAATGTGCCTTACTTCAGGCTTTACAGTAGCTACCTCTTCTTTAATAAGTTAACTTTGTTTTGAAGGTAAGCCTTGAGAAGAGAAGGTGGTCACTTGGATGCTCCAGCACCTCAATGTCTTTCCTGAACTGAGGGGGCCAAAACTGAACACAATACTCCAGGTGTGGCCTCACCAACTCTGAGTACAGGGGAAGGATCACTGCCCTACTCCTACTGGCCACGCTGTTCTTGATGCAGGCCAGGATGCCATTGGCCTTCTTGGCCACCTGGGCACACTGCTGGCTCATGTTCAGCTTCCTGTCAATCCAAACTCCCAGATTCCTTTCCACCTGGCTGCTCTCCAGCCACTCTGTCCCGAGCCTGTAGTGCTGCAGGGAGTTGTTGTGGAGGACCCAGCACTTGGCCTTGTTGAACTTCATCCCGTTGGAATCAGCCGAACTCTCCAGCCTATCCAGGTCCCTCTGCAGAGCTCTCCTGCCTTCCAGCAGATCAATACTCCCTCCCAACTTGGTGTCGTCTGCAAATTTGCTAATGATGGACTCAATCCCCTCATCTAAATCATCGATAAAGATGTTAAACAGGACTGGGCCCAGCACTGATCCCTGGGGGACACCACTGGTGACCGGCCGCCAGCTGGATGCAGCCCTGTTCACCAGCACTCTCTGTGCCCAGCCATCCAGTCAGTTCTTAACCCAGCACAGAGTGCCCCTGTCCAAGCCATGGGCTGCCAGCTTTTCCAGGAGTATATTATGGGAGACAGTGTCAAAGGCTTTGCTGAAGTCCAGATAGACACATCCACAGCCTTCCCCTCATCCACCAGGCGGGTCACCTGATCGTAAAAGGAGATCAGGCAGGTCAGACAGGACCTGCCCCTCCTAAACCCACCCTGGCTGGGTCTGATCCCTTGTCCATCCTGTAGGTGCCATGTGATTGCACTCAGGATGATCTGCTCCATAACCTTGCCAGGCACTGAGATCAGGCTGACAGGCCTGTAGTTTCCTGGGTCCTCCTTGCAGCACTTTTTGTAGATGGGCGTGACATTTGCCAACTTCCAGTCATCTGGACCTCCCCAGTGAGCCAGGACTGTTGGTAAATGATGGAGAACGGCTTGGCAAGCTCTTCTGCCAGCTCCCTCATCACCCTAGGATGGATCCCATCTGGTCCCCTGGACTTGTGTGGATCCAGGGGGCTCAGTAAGTCACTGAATATTTCCTCCTGGAATACAGGGGGGCTATTTGGCTTCCTGTCCCTGTCTACCAGCTCCAGAGGACAATTGTCCCAAGGGCCACCTGTCCTCCTGAATACTGAGGCAAAGTAGGTGTTCAGTACCTCAGCCTTCTCCTCATCCCTGTTAACTATGTTTCCCTCCAAGTCCAACAAGGAATGGAGATTTTCCTTGCCCCTCCTTTTGTTATTAATGTATTTATAGAAGCACTTTTTGTTATCCCTAACAGAAGGAGCCAAATTGACTTCAAACTGCACTTTTGTCTCTCTAATTTTCTTTTTGCATGACCTAGTTATATTCCTAAACTCATCCTGAGTAACCAGCCCTGTTTTCCATAGTCTGTAAGCTCTCTTTTTATCCCTGATTTCCTTCAGAATTTCCCTGTTCAACCAAACTGGTCATCTACCCTGCCGGCTTGCCTTTTGGCACACTGATACAGCCTGTTCCTGTGCACTCAAGACTTCCTTCTTGAAGCATGTCCATCCCTCCTGTACCCCCTTGTTTTCAAGGGTTTTTTCCCAGGGTAAGCTCTGGACCAGTCTTCTGAACAGGCCAAAATCTGCCCTCCAGAAGTCCAGTGTGGAGGTTTTATTGGTGGCCTTCCTTGCATCCCTGAATATTGCAAACTCTCTTATTTCATGGTCACTGTGCCCCAGATGGCCTCCGACCATTACATCTCCCACCAGCCCCTCTCTGTTTGTAAACAACAGGTCTGGTGGGACCCCACCCCTGGTAGGTTCATTTACCAGCTGGAGCAGGAAATTATCCTCTATACACTCCAGGAGCCTCCTAGACTGCCTCTTCTTTGCTGTGTTGAGCTCCAAGCAGATATCCAGCAGGTTGAAGTCACTCACAAGAACAAGGGCTGATGGTTTTGAGACATCTGCCAGCTGCTTGTAGAATAATTCATTCCCTTCAAGAAGGTGGAGCCAGAGATCATAGTGAGAGGTGATGGGCACAAACTGAAATACAAAAGATTTCTTTTAAACATAAGAATACTCTTTTTATTGCAAGAGTAGCCAAGGAGTGGAACAGGTTGCTACTAGGGCAGTTGTAGAGTGTCCGTGCTTGGAGATATTTGAACCCAGCACAGTCCTGGGCAGCCTGCTTTGGCTGACCCTGCTAAGACGAAGTGTTTGACTAGATGAACAGAAGAGACATTATACACCAGGCGAGTATAAGAAAAAAATGAGGTGTGCCTGTATGGAAACTGACATCAGCACTTCCTGTTACTGATTTCATGGTAAAAAAAAGGATTTAAGGAGGGTTTAGATTAAAATAATGGCTAGTTTTGCAGATGTTTATGGAGAACTTTGGCCTACGTGGCACATGATCTGAGAGAAATCCAAAAGGATTTAAAAATAAAAAAAACTGACTAGCAGTAACTGCATTTGGTATCATTCAAAGGTGGGCATAACACAAGGACAGTGAATGAGAATTAAGTTGCAAGGACAAGTTGCTTGTAGGCCATGAACTCGAAAATAAAGGCAAGCAGCTTATAGTTGGGGCAGTAGGGTGGTAGACGTGTGGCATAATGTGTTAATTTACAAAGTTCCTGCAAGTTTAATTACTTGGTGAGTTCTGTCACGGATGATGGGGTTGCAGAATTCTGTAGTCTCTCTAGCTACAGTTGTAAATATATTTGATTTAGTTATCTGTTAGGTATTTCAGGTTTTCAGCAATTGCTTTCATGTGCTAGCATCTGTATTTATTTAAAAGTATGTATTTATGTTTTATTAGAACACATTGATTTATTTAAAGATTTTTAAAAGGTGTTTTCCCTTCAAGTACTTGTTTTAGAAAAATAAATTTTCATCCACTCCCTTGCCTGTGGATATCTGAATCTTGGAATAAATCTCAGGATACGGTTGTCTTTAAAATAAAACCATTTTCTTTTTACAGTGAAGCCATTTCTAAATCAAGAAGAATATCAAAGAACTGAGGATATAGTTAAAAAATTTGAAAATGGCATTGGGAAAGAGTTGCATCAGAAGTTACTGGAAAGAGCTAAAATGAGAAGGAATTGGGTATGTGTTTAGATATATAAGAAATCATAATTCAATGTAAGAAATCTTAATTCAACTTATGGAAAGTTGTTTATTCAGGATATAATTCAAAGAGTCATTTCACTTTTTTAAGTCTTAGGATCTTCCTTGTATCTGCCACTTGGCCTATGGATATGAAAGCATTCACTTAGTTATATATGTGTGATTTGGTTTTTTCAAAGCTGAGTAGGTAAGAGAGCTCACCAGCTGAAATTATAGTTACCTACTAGCTTTTGAATGCTTTGTCTATCAGTTTTTCCTTCTATGACATCTGTCCCTTCTCTCTCCACCCTAGCAAAAAAAAACACAAAGCAATAAACAAAAGAAAAACCCAGCAAAACAAAACCTGGAATTTAGAGTTTGGTCTCTCACTTCCCAGTGGGAGGCTACGTGGTAGCATTTTAATGTTGTGTTTCAACAGAAAAAGGAATATGAGGAAGGCCATGACATATTCCAGAGTGAGGATTTTCAGATGGTGACAGAAACAGTACATTATAAACTCTGTCTCATATCCCTGCTCAACACAAATCTACTTTCCTTCCATTCTCCAAGGAGTAATCTGACTGATATTTGCAACAGCCACAGCTGACATCTGCAAGAGTTTAAGATGATGAATATCAGGGAAGAAATGTTCATGATAATTTACAGTTTAATATTCTTAAACAGTATTGAATTTTATTTCAAGCTTGAAAATAGAAGAGCTAAATGTGTCGTTATCTTCAGCAGTTAGTTTTGAACCACTGTCCTGCCTTGTGTTACATAGGAACTACTTTCAAAGTACTAAAAAAAAAAGAAAGAAAAAAGAGCAAGCAATTTAACACTTAGGTGATTATTAAGAAATTAATTACTAAAAATTAATTAGTTCTGATGGTAAACATTTTTCATTTCAGCTGGAGGACTGGTGGCTGAATGTGGCTTACCTTGATCTTCGCATCTCAACACAAATACACTGTAATATGGGAGGCCCTGGTCCCTATATTGAACACTACTGGCCACCAAAAGAGGGCACTCAGATAGAAAGAGCATGTGTAAATATATGGCACACCCTGAAATACTGGGATCTATTACGAGCGTAAGACTTCAAGAAAAAAATAATTGATTCTAAATATTAATGACCTGTGTATCCTTTAGTTGCAAATATATGCTTATGTTTATTGGCATGCATTCTTTGCAGTAAAAGGTTGGTCTAACCTTCATTTAATTCCATCATTATCATTTCTCATATTTAATTTTGGTGTATTTGTTACTACAGAGAGAAGGTGACCATAGAGAGATCTGGGAACACTGTTCTGGACATGAACCAATTTCGAATGCTCTTTTGCACTTGCAAAATTCCTGGAGTTACCAGAGATTCGCTCGGCACTTACTTTAAAACTGGTAAACAAATGAAAATTGGGGGTTAATACAAGCAAATGATTTTTATTAATGGGCCAATGGAGTGCTGACTTAAACCATAAAATACTTGCTTCCTCAAGCACTAAGCCAGATACTAGTTGTTGAGTGCTTATATAAGGAAGCAAAGAAGACATCTCATCTACAAGTGCCCTATTTGGTCCAGTATTTAGTCCTTACTAAATAAGAGTGTAAGAAAACTCTGCTTTAAATTCTATATTACCAATCTGATGCCTATAATAAGTATGCCAGCATTAAGAATTGAAAAAAGACAAATTCTGTGTGTTATAAGTGTGTGTGGATTCCACGTATTATATGGACAGGATTTCAACATCATTACTAATTGCATGTTTTTTCACATTTGAGAAGGCATTTCTCAAGTGTATTCCCATATATTCTGTTGGGATAATTCTTACTTATTTTTTATCATTGTGCTATTTCTTGGCTTGGTCAACTGCTTCTATTATCAGTCTTGAAAGTACTCCATAGAGCTTCATAAAGGCATTCTATTAAACTCCCGACAGTTTTCTAGCGTTCGGGATCAAGAGCTAAAGTATAATGTTCTTATTCATCCTCCATTACCAAATACTGTAGCATTAGTAATCAGCAAACTGAAATCATAACAGCCCTTCCACACACATTCTGATGCATCCAGAGTTGTTCAGCAGTGTTGCTCTCCATAATCATGGACTCAGGAATTCAAGAAGAAGGTATTGCCTTGCTCCATAAAATATATCCAAGTAAATCTCCATACCACGTGAAATGATGGGAAAATGCAAAGTTGAAGGAAGGTTTCAAGGTGGTGTTTGTTTGGTTTGGTGTTTTAGCATTACAGCTGAAGAGTCAATTCAAGTACTAAAACTTAGAAGAAACGTTCAAATGGTGGGAAGTCCATGTTCTGTTATGATCACTCTTAATAAACAAGGGTGTTACCTGGTAGAGAGGCAATTTATGTCATTCCTCTTCCTTTTCTACCTTAAAATATTGCAAGAACATCATTAAACAACAATCTTGCTTATATAATTTTTCATGTCATACACAGCAAGTGATACCCATTTCCATGTAGATTGTCTGCCTCCAGGTGACATATTTGGTCCAGTTAGTTGTCTTGTTTCTCTCTGGTTCATGGAGAAATACGAATACCTCCAGAGGAGGATTTGGGCCATTAAAATATGCAAGTATGTAAGATAGATACTGTCTAAGATAGAAGGAATTGCCATCTGGAGATGGATCTGTTTTTCTCCATTGGCCATAGAGGGAACTGACATGGTCTAAACACTTGAAGTAGTATTTAGATTGCAGAGTAGGGCACCTAAAATTTATCAGGTAATGTCAGCTTGGAGTCAAAAAACATACTAAAAGCCCAGGGAGCTGTTTGGTTCAGCCTGCAGCAGACATCTTCATGAGAACAGGTGAAGAGCTCATTAAATATTATTCAGTGTATTGGGTAGATCTCCACCACTGTACACTACTGTACACCACTGTAGTGACATATCAGACATGTAATTCTAGGTATGGTAACTTCCAGACTTAATTCTGCCCCTCGCTTTAGACAGCTAAGATTAGGAGAATGCTACCTAAAGTAATTGAATTGGATGTCATCTCTTCTGATTTTTGCTATGTTACAAATTAATTTCATGATCTATGAAGATGAGGTGTAAATGAGATGACAGATTCCTCACTCTAGAGTGTCTTTAACCAGGTGTATGTTGAATTGTGTTATTTGATTTAGAAAGTATGACTGTAAAGGTAGATGTAACAGCCATATAGATAAGGTTAGGACTTCTTTGGGTGCTCATTACGTTCCATACTTGTGGATAAAGTATACATTTCTTCTTTTTCCCAGAGTAGAGTACTTGGGTAGTTTGAGAAAAATACAACGTTTCTTGGGATTTTAACACCTAGTTCGTGTCCTTTCCAGCATTAGTCTAATTTCCAGGTAGATGGGTTTGGTGGGGAAATGTTTGGTGGGACAAATATACCTGACCTGGGGCGGGCCAGTACCATCTGTGTTTCTGTATAGTGGCCAAGTTGGTGTGTCAGTGCTCCCTTCTTACAGATGTGCGTGTGCTGGTCAGGTGTGATTGGCATGGCAGTGCATCATGAGGTGCATAACCAAAACTAGCAGTAGACTTGTTCAACAAGCAACACTCATTCAAGCGAGAAATATTGCTAGATCAGCTTTCACAGGGAACAGACATTTCAGCAGAGAAATCTTTCCTACAAGATACACAAATAAATGACACTTGCTACTAGGTAATGACGATGACTTGAAGTAGTTCATAACAGTGAAAGTTATGTATGACTTCTGTTGGTTTTTAAAATGTCAAATTTGCAGTAAGAGCATGCAATTGGACTTAAAAAGTTACTCTTTTTTTAATCTTTCCTGGTTTTAACTATATGAAGTTTGCCACATTTTGAACAAAAAAGGGTCTGTAGGACTTGTTGAGTTTTTCCTGTATCTGTCACTCACTTTATCCCCAAGGTTGGATTTTTATTTATTCTTATTTTTTATTTCAGAGGCTGAAGGTGAATGCCCATCTCACTTAATAGTCCTGTGTCGAGGTCGAGTGTTTGCATTTGATGCTATGCATGAAGGCAGTATGGTGACTCCTCCAGAGATATTCAGGTTTTCAAAATACCTTATCTTAAATGAGCTGTCCTATTTAAGCTACATACCAAGGAGGCTTTCTTTTTTCTTTTTTCTTTGTCCTTCACCCGAAAGAATTAGGTTTGAGAGAGGCTGCAGCTTCTCCTCTAGCTGAAGGTTCAGGTTTGACTAAGTTCTTGTTTACTGAATAACAGCTTCTTTCCATAGAACATGATTATTATTATATACTGCTGTACTACACCCATAGAGCATCATACAAAAGGCTGAAAGAAGATATTTGAGTAGAAAATATCCTTTATATATGAAGCTTCTTTACATGGAAATATTAGGATTATAAGTATCATTCCTTTCAGGAACAATACGCATAGATAATTGTCTCATTGCTACTTAATCATTATCAAAGATGAAACACCACTGTCATGTTGATTTAAATCTAATAAACTTGTGGTCAGTTTTCTCAAGAGTAGAGAGGCTGGACTTTCTGTTAGTGAGTGCAGCAGAGTCCAAACTTGTAGCATACAGTGATTGACTTCCTGCAGCTACGGAGCAGCTACGGAGCAGTACAGCTGCATTTCACTTGCAGTTCTTGTCTTTGCCCCAGGCCTGTGACAGCCAGCCATGTTTGTGGCTCTTCGTGTTCCTGAGCTGCCACAAAGGAATAGAGAGAAAGAATTTGGTTCTTCAAATAGTACGTTTCAGCAGTAGTGTAACAGCCAATGTTTAAAGCTTTTCTGTGCTGTATCTTCTATGTCCCAGTAGCATGTTCAGGTGCTGGCTTTTGAGTTGTCAGTGCAGTTGTGGCCACAAAGTTTCCCACTCTGTTGGTCTAACTCTGATGTCAAATACAGAAGTAGTTTCAGCATAAATCTCTTGTGATCAATTTGGGATCTATATACCTCTACTGACTAAGAAAGGGTTGTTAATCTTGTCTAGGAATAACTTCTTGGATTTGTCAAAGTGCTGCTTATAGAGCACAACAGAAGACTTGCAATTAAAACTGGCAAAAAGTGTATGGCCAAATTCCCCAGGCAAGACAAAAATTAGTTAAAAAAGCTAAAAATCACTTTTTTAAAAAAAGTCTGATACTTTAATATGTAGTATTTTAACATATGTATTTATGGGTTTTGTAGCTGTGCCTGTTAAGTAGCAAATAAATGAACATCTGGAATACAGACAAAAACCCCTAATGCTATTGTCTATAGGAAGAGCAGGTTGTGTTGGATTTGGTTTGGTGGGGTTTTTCTGGGGGATTTTCTTTTATAACCTCATCATGGGTGTCTTACATTTTTGATAACTATGTAACTAATGATCAGTAGTGAAGTTCAGTGGGCAAGAGTGCCAGAATAAAGCACAAACCAGGATTGAGTGCCTGTAATTTGTGGAACTTCTTTAACACTAGAACAGCATGTGAACAACTGAATTTGCAAACTTAAAATTACCTCTTTGGTAATAGTTCTTCTAAAGGAAAAATGCAAGGAAAAGGTAGGAGGGGAATTACTCTCATGTAATTCAGACTCTACATTTATAGATGTACTATAGCTAGTGTTCTGCTTTAAATTTCAGGGTTTATCTTGAGTGGAATGTTTGTCCTGTATCTGATTCGTTACCCTAAAGCTGCAGAGCTGCAGTATTGCAGATATGTGCACTCCAGAAAGTCTGATCTACACTGTTGAAGTTTTAAGTGTAGTTTTAGATGAAGTGCATAATAATGCTGTAGGATCACGATTGTTTATATGTAAGTTTGTATTGGGCTCTTAGCTGCAGTCTGAATTAACCATTAGTGTCTGAAAACAGAGCAGGTCTTCAGTTGTCCTTAGAGTTTGAGGGAGATGATTCATGCTTCCTGAAAATTCACATTGACTTGTGAATGTGGAACCAAGATTCCAACTTTACAAAAAAAAAAAGAGAGAGAGGAAAAAAGGTGACTGTTTTTTAATCTCTATCTGTTCTTTGTTAACTTCAGTTTTTGAAATCTTCTTAAAGGCAACTTACATATATTCAGAAAAGATGCCATAGTGAGCCAGATGGACCAGGACTGGCAGCCCTAACATGCAACGAAAGGACAAAATGGGCAGAGGTAGGAATACTTCCAACAATTGGTTCCTGAGGTATCAGGAAAAAGCCTTGTGATCACTGGAAATACGTTATTTGACTTAGCTTTGTCTTTTTATGCTTTCTAGTTACGGGAATATTTGATTGGTCTTGATCCAAAGAACTTAACTCTTCTGGAAAAAATTCAGAGAAGTTTGTTTGTGGTCTGCCTTGATGATTCTAGTCCCCATGCAACTCCTGAGGACTATACTGAGGTAGCTAAGTATTTTTGATAATTTATGTCTGGTTATGTTTTCATAAAAATTTCTTCTGCATATATACAGAAGTAGCATTTCTTGCTCTTTCATAACAGAAAATGAAGCAGATAAATATGCAAATAATGCTGGTTTTTGATCCATAGCAAAATTTAATACTTTGAATTATTAGGACATCGTAAGGGGGAATGGCTGAAATCTACCTTCATAACCTTTTAGCCCTCTATCCTTCAGCATTTTCAAAAACATAGTCATCAACTTTTTACAACACTTTTAATTAAAGCTTGGGCTTATAAACATGTTTCATCTTGAACTGTATGAAAATGTCTTATCAGGGAGATTTCACCCTCTTAATGTAGACTAGGTTTAGCTGACAGAGGTTGGCAGTGTCGTCAGTGTTTTTTAAAATTCACAGCATGTAACCTTTGCTTTAGCTCACAAGGCTGGGATTAACAGGTGATCCGACTGTACGCTGGGGAGATAAATCCTACAATAGCATATTCTTTTCCAATGGAACTTGCAGCGCATTCTGTGATGTAAGTTGAAATTTTTTTCATCTTATAAACCTTTTGAGTATTTGTTTACTGAATTTCCCCTTTCAGGGTATTATTTTAAGTGCTTAGTGTGTTCCTCTCTAGTATAGCCTTGTTTACCAGGCACCTTGTCTGATGACTTTCCAAAAGCACTCTGCGTTCTCAGTGTTTCATATTATACCATGCATGAATTGTGAACATGAGATCTGAAGTAATTTCTTAGAGTATTTAATGAGAGAGTTCCAAAATAAAAAAAATACAGTGCGCGAGAAGGCATAAAATAAACTCTTCCTATAATGTATCTATTTGAACAGCTGTGTTTTTTAAACTCCTGGTTTTTCAGATTCATTATTGCATTACCAGAAGGGCTTATATCTTGCCTGAAATCTGTGCCTCCCTATCCAGCTGCAGAGCAGTCAAAACAGTGGGTGGACCTAAAGTAGTTCTCTGTTTATTGTAGAACTAGAAAAACAAGTCCAACATTGTGCAGTAAAGCTGTTGATCTGCAGGTAAAGAGTGGGATAGGTAAAAAAGCAATTTGATCATCTTGCAGTTATGCAAATAATGTGGTATCTTGTCTTATCTGATTTTAGCATTCTCCTTTTGATGCCATGGCTTTAATTACCATGTTATCTTATGCCGAAAAGAAGATTATTGAGAATGAGGGAAAATGGAAGGTATCTATCCTTTATAAACTTTCAAGTTTGTAGTTAACGTGTCTTTTCTTATGAATAATATGTTCTCTTTTCCCTTCTTTCTTTCTGTCTGCATCTTTCCAGGGATCAGATAATGTGAGGGATATTCCATGGCCAGAGGAACTTGTATTCACAGTGGATCCAAAAATTATAAATGAAATTGAACGTACTAAAGAACTGTATTACAAGAAGGTGGAATTTCTTGATGCTTCTCGTAGTTGGTTTTTTTCATTCTATTTACGTGTTTTTGGTTGGTCTTTCTCCATACTGGAGAAGAGGAATAAATACATTATTGATGAATTGGGGGACTTAACAAGTGGTTAAATTTGTTGCATTGTTGGTTTATGTTGAGTGTCTTTTGAAGTGGATCAAGTTGTGATATTTCTTGACTCCTGTGGTTTTTCTTCCTTTGCTATGACAGGTGTCTGACTTGCAGCTGGTGTCTTATGCCTTCACATCCTTCGGCAAAGCATTGCTTAGGAAGAAGAAACTTCATCCTGATACATTTGTGCAGCTTGCCCTACAACTTGCTTATTACAAATGCCATGGACGGTAAGAATAGGAATAAAAAAACTGGTTTCTTGAGTAAAGAGGTGCAGTGGCTTTGCAGTGTTAGTGTGTAATTTGCTATGGTGATGTAAGAATGAAGAACTAAGGGGTTTTTAAAGTAACAGTTGCATAAGACCATACTTGCTTCAGAAGAACTCTGCCCTTGTGACCATAGGGATAATGTGTGCACGTATTGTGGAATGGATGGCATAACTCAGTCCACAAAAAGGTGAATTTTGGCTGTACACGGGAAGTATTTGGGCAAACACCAAGTGCTCAGTGGTCAGGATTCTCTACTGTCGAATAGTTGATCAAATGGAGAAGAAAACTTTATCTGTAGAAAGTGACTGCCATCAGTTAAACGTTTAGTCTTCCAAGTCTGTAGAAGGCCTCACAAAACATCAGTGTCTCACTTTCTTTAACATTGGATGTTAAGGTTTGAACAGAATAATAGAGACAGAGACCCTCCAAATACCTGCCTCTACATTTTCAGATGTGGCATTTTGTATTATTTTAGATTAAAGACGTCATTCCTCCTGGTGTTTGGGTTTCCAAATTTCTGTTTGCTAACTAGCACGTATAAGTCATTACTGACCTGGAGAGTACTGCTTGCTTCAGGAGGAAGGTTTTGTCACAGGAGTGTGATGCTTAGTCACTGGTGATGTGATCACGTTGTAACAAAGGCTGGTAGATCTGAGGCTGACTGAAATGACCTGTTTGATCTGTTGTAAACACTCAAGTATGTTTCACGAAAGTTGTATTTTAAATGGCAGACTGTCATAGAGCTGGAGATGCTCCAGATATAAAAACTGGATGGCTGTCAGTATGCAGCAGAGAAGGTTTTGAGCCTTTTCCTCCAAATGCATTGAGACACATGGCTTGCTTTAAATGTGTAGCTTAATTTTTGAGGGTTTGGGTGGTGTAGGTGGTTTCTTCAATGGGGATATATATATGAAACTGAAGCTTGTGTAATTTCAGCCTATTTTTGCTAGAGCCTGGTAGAGCTGTAGTCTGCAGAAAATAGCCATGACAACAAAGTCTTTTCAAGGTATGATTACAGTGCTGGCACTTTTTTCAGTCATCTGTCTCATAAAAGTGCATAGAGTTCCTTTGTGGCTCTTTATCGGACGCATAACTTCAAGAATATTAGTGTGTTTCTGGTACTTGTAACTGAGCTAAATGTGCAAGATCTTCGACAGGACTTTTTGAGTCCTTGAAAGAGCAAATAGTTTTGTTAAGGTAATGAGATACTCTTCCCTAATTTTTGTTCTTAGTCCGGGCTGCTGTTACGAAACTGCCATGACCAGGCGTTTCTATCATGGCCGCACAGAGACCATAAGACCATGTACTGTGGAAGCAGTGGAATGGTGCAAGTCCATGCTGGATCCTTCTGACAGTGTAAATACTGAAATCCTACTGTAATCATCATGTATTTAGAAGGCCTGTCATTTGAACTGCTTAAAACTCACTCTTGTGTTGTCTCATTGGTGGGAGTTGACATCTTTCCAGTGAGACAGATTTCAAATGTTGAGTTGCTTAAACTCTGATTCTGGTCACTGTGACTGAGGTGTGCTGTCATGTATGGGCTTGTTTGTTTTTCTGTCCTATTTGCCTTTTGGTTTCAAGAATGTAACTGTCTTGAGTTACATTCACACTGATGTTTTTTCATACCTCAGAAAGTTATTGGGTTGGATCCAAAGTACTCTGCTGCGGTTCTGTTGTTTTAATTTCCAAGTAAAATCAGGAAATGTTTATCTAATATTTGCATCAGAGAGCAAGATTGAAATCTGTTTGTGTCCTAGTGGCAACAGGGATGTATTCCAGAGTGTCTCTGAATAGCTGAACCAGAGACTTTTTCTTTTCCCAGCAACTGCCCTCTGGTGCTTGGCTGGCAAAGCATGTCATGCCTTTCTTGCCAAGTGAGAGCTGTACTAAAGCTCTTTCTGTTGTCCTCCCTGCACATTTCTCAGAGCCTGAGAAATTAGGTAAAGAGATTTTTGAGACAAAGGGCTACATGTCTTTAGTAAAAATTCAAAGGCTCTATAATATTAACGCATCTGAAAAACATACAGGAAATATGGCTGTCAGAAAGCATGTGTGATTGATAATTCTAGCCTTCAAGAGCACTTTTTCTTGGTCTTCGCTGGCTTCTTTTGGCATGTGCTGCAGCTTTAAATCTCCGTTTTCTGGTCACATTTCAAATGTGCTTCCTATTCCAAGTATGGATTCCTGTTATTTCCCTGCTCTTCATTTACCTTCTAACCATTTATCAGGCTTCCAGCACTAACTGTAGCCTTCTTCTCTTTGCAATATTAAATAGCATCTCCAAATATCTCCCTGTTGTTTTTTTTAATGCTGAACTCCTGGGGCTTAAAAACTGTGTTCGGTAGTATTGAAATTAACATGCTTAAAAGTCTGTCTTTATGTACTTTTTAGTACCTTAAAGTTATATACTTGGGAAAAACACTTTTATCTCAGATTTTCTTTTGCTTCTTGTAAGGTTAGTAGCTTGATTTTTATTCAGATTGAGTGGCTGCTGCTCTTGATTCACATTCTCTGTTGCAACCTCTCTTGTGATGAATAAAGGGATAGAGGGTGCTTCTTAAGTAGTTAAAGAACTAGCAAGATCTAAGATCTTGGAAGTCAAGATCTTGAGCATCCAGAACTGTTTCTCAAGGCCTACTTTGTAAAAAACATTCTGTTTGTATTCTCTCTGATTTTAATATGTAAGTTTCAATATAAAACTGGAAAAAAAAGTAACATTGGGCAGAACTGGCAATTAGCAGAGAAAATTTGGGAATGCAGTTGGCATCTGTATATATTAGTTAGGGTCTTGTTTTCTGCTTTCGTGATTTTCATTTTTTTCTTTCCTTTTTTTTTGTCATGAAAAGTGATAGAACACAATATTTTTGTTGGAAGGGGCCTACAGTGATTATGTAGTCCAACTGCCTTGTCTAATTCAGGGCATGACGATCATGGAAGTGCAACCACACCTGGTAAAAGCTACTGTCCTTCTGACTACAGGGTATTATAGAAAATTTGGGGGTTTGATTATTCTGGTTCACAGTGGTTACTTTTTATTGTTTCAGCTTTCTGGGGAAGGAACATGAAGTTTAGAATATTGTTCAGTGCACAAGTGATCTTAGTAACAGAACAGAGATAACGAGCACATTCTTCTGAAAGCAAATGAGCACATTCTTCTGAAGGAATTTGGATGTGGGAGGAGGAGTTTGAGAGAGCTTCTAATGTACTTTTAAAGTTCCTCCATTTTCCTCTATCTAAAATTGTTAGAAACTGTGAAAGGGAAAAATTGCTGATCTGTGATTCCTAATGTGTTACTCATTTGGATTGTTTTTTCTTTTTTTTTTTTTTTGTTTTTATCCTGTCTCCCCTTCTTTACACAGACTTATCAACAACTGCAGCTGATGCATAAGGCATTTGCAAAGCACAATAAAATGAGGAAAGAATGTGAGAATGGAAAAGGTACTCTGACATCAAAACTTGTTTTGTTTTGTTTTTTTCTTGTGATGAAAAGGGAATATTGTTGTATGCTAATACATTTTCTCTGTCTCGTTATTTCCCACCTGAATAAAAACTATTTCTTAACATTTTATGCTTTAATTTTGAGGAGAACTAAAACCTAGTGCTTGGGCCTTTCCTTGTACCCCAAAGATATGTTCGCTTTCATAGTTTCTCTGCCTAGCTAAACATTATTTTGGAATACCTTCCAGTCAAATATATGCCTATCTGGAAAATGAAAAATGTGGTTTTCTAAGGCATAGGAGAGATTTGGGTGAGGTTCTAACCCATCTATGTTAGCATTGTACATTATTTTATGAATAAGAAAAAGTATCTGGGAAATAATCACCTGATGAACTTCATACTCTCTCCATTCTACTTGGTGTGTTATCTGGGCAGTTCTGACCCTGAAAGTCTTTTTGCCTTGTTCACATAATTGCCAGTGAGCCACTTTCACTCCTTGGCTGAAGTGGGAGTTCTCTTGTGTTTTGTTTTCCACAGGAACTATGCTGGATTTCTGTTACTTAGGTAATTTGCTTTTGTGCTCGGTGATGCAAGTTGAAAGAGATGAAGGTCTCTTAGATCAAATATGTGGGAAATGTTTTTGGATGCTACAATACTTCTTCTTTAGCAGATGCTGTTGTTTACCTGTCCTCAGCTGTTACTTGAACTCCTAGCTATCCAGACCAGAAGAAGCAGAAAAACAGGAAACACTGCTGTTAATGATTTTGTATTTGCATTTATTTGACAGGCTTTGATCGTCATCTTCTGGGTCTCCTGCTCATAGCACAGGAGCAAGGACTGCCAGTGCCAGAACTGTATGGGGATAAGGCCTTCACAGCTAGGTAATTCATATTCTTGTCCTGTGGGGAGTTGTATCCCTCAATAGCAAGGCCTTTGTCGCATTGGCCTTATATGTGCTGATTTCTTGACCTCTAGGACAAAATAACTGTTTTATTAAACTCGCTTTGTTTCAAATTACCTTTAAAAGTACTGCTTTTGTTTTGTGTTGTTTTACAGTGGAGGAGGTGGGAATTTTGTCCTTTCAACTAGTCTGACTGGCTACACTAGGTTTAGTGGATGTGCACTCCCTATGGTACAACATGGCTATGGCTTTTTTTATGCAATCAGAGATGACAGGTAAGGTTATAATTTCATTTTAGGTATGGCTCTGCCCTTACCACAGAGGGAGAGGCAGCTAACAATTAGAATGAGGAAAGGAAAAGACAGAAGAAATATTGCTGAACGTGTCAGGAGAGGTTGAGAAGTGAGGTACATGAAATAGAGGCATTGATGTTCTGGGAAAGCATGTGTGTGAGGCAGGATGAATGGTGGAGGTGAAGTGAGCACCAAGATACTGACAATGTGCAGAAAGTAAAGGGTGGGGAAGGTGAAAGAAGGGAGTAACAAAAAAAAGTTAACTGATTTAAAATAGGCCATCATTCTAGATGTCATTTGTAAGAGGTGTTTTTTGAAGTTTTTTGACTGAACTAGAGCAGATAAGAATACAGGTGAGCACACTGCCCATCGTTCTTGGAGTAACACACGTATCTTGACTCAAACCAGACCTTTTTTGAGTAACAATAAGAGGCTAAAATATTTGGCTTCACTTCTAAAATTGTAAGATTTGAAAAGATTCATCTTTGGCTTGTTGGTCTTATGGACAAAAATTACTGCTTTTTTATGAAATCTAAAACTACTTCAACTAGAATGTGTAGAGATAAGTTGCTGGTTTATGACTTAGGTGTAATTCAAATGACTTCTTCCTAAAGCTAAACGTGGATTGCATGCACATTTGAATCAGTTTGAGTATACAAACCATTTATACTTTGATCTATGGCTCTCTTAAAATAATTGGAACCAGATAAAGATTTACCTTTCATTACGTAAATAGAAAAAAAAAGTACTTAAAACCTTGGAGCCCCTGGTGGTCTAGGGGTAAAGGCGCCGCGCTATCACCGCGGAGACCCGGGTTCGATTCCCGGTCAGGGCCACTCCCGGGCGGGTGGAGCTCATTAGCCCTTAAAGGCAACCCACCTACGTCCTAAGGACCTCGCTGCCACCGTCCAAGCTCGCTTGGCCCCGGCAGATGAACCTTAGGATTAAAGGGTGGGCTCAGTTCCGCGCACACTGTGTCTCACCTAAAAAAATCCAATGCGCAGGCTGGAAGGTGGAAAGACCTTCCCCGGATCTTCGCTCGCGAAGACTGGCCATTATTACTTAAAACCTTAAACTAGTTGCAGAAGAAGAACTATAGTTCACAGCATTTTCAAATATAAGCAGAGAAGTTACATCACTGTGTATGTGGTAATGGGTATTTAAATCAAAGTATCTGGTTTCAAGATCTGTCAACATTATTGCTTACCGAAGGTACACATGATCTGAGTCCTTTTTTAATGTCGAGACAGTATGTTTATGTGACAGATTTTATTTCAGAATTTGTGTTAATTTTTGTGACTTCATCCTAGACCACGACAATTAAGTGCGGTAATCTCATTGTTTCCTGTATTTCTATAGGATCGTTGCAAATTGTTCTTCTTGGAAATCATGTCCAGAGACTGATGCAGAAGTGCTGTGTAGAACTATGTTCCAGTGTTTTCATGACATGCTACAGTTAACAGTTAGAGCTCAACTGTAAGCTTGAGAATGATGTAAAAGGCTTTACAAGCTCACAAGTTATAGATAGTAATTAAAAATGAAATGCTGCTCAAGAGTACAGGTACATTCAATTTAAGACATTTAATGATCTGTGTGAAGTCTACCTATTTTTATGTGATTTACTGTGGTAACAGTACCCATTAAAGAGTAATGTAGCCATTTGCAGCAGCAATGCAAGCAGTAGTACCTTATCTGTGTAGAACTATGCAATATTAAAATATGCCTCAACAATGCAAATGTACTTCGAGACGAGATGTTGGAGTGGAGAACTGATGGGAGACTTGTGTTTATGATCTCAGTAGTAGCCTGTAGAAATGTAGAGTAGTTTGTAGTCTACTGATATTGTTTATGCCAGTGGAGCACTTAACTGTGTACTTAAGAGTAACCACACTACCCTCTTAGGTGATTATGCTTCCTATTCACAGTGGTTTGTGAAACAGAAGGGCTGCCTCCATCAGGTTATGTGGTATATTATAAGTTATCTTTTATTTTTGCTGTCAAGATTATGCCAAATAAATGTTGTATCCATGAATGGGGATGTTCCCACTACATTTGTAGTATGAGAGCACTACAATCTGAAGTATTTTGAAAAATGATTACTCAATAAAGACAGAAAGCAGCATGAGTTTCGCATTTTTCAGTTTTCATCTTCTAGTGAACTGTGAATATCTGCTGCTTTACACTAATAGTACACAATAAAAGTAAGCACTGAATTGTTTGATATGGTTCTCAGGATTTTAATACTTGATTCCTCTGAGCAGCTTTGTATTTTCCTGTCCTAGAAATAAAATTCTTCTAAAAATCAACTTCGTATTAATTGATTTTGTGGCTGGACTGTTTAATGTGTAGCAACATTGTGTGAGAGAGATGATCTTGGGGGCAGGTCAACTTGAAACTAGGATTCTAAAGTACTCATTGCTTTTTCTCTACCCTGTAGAGTTTGATAGAGATCTTATTATTTGTTTTACAGAAACAGCTTCATTCTCAGCTACCTTGGAGCCAATTTCTGTGCCCTTTGGAAGATCTGTTGCATGTTTATTGTCCACAGTAGCAAGAACAGAGTTTCCCTTTTTATTTCCTCCCTCAAAGCCTGATGCACCTCTACAAGCCAAGGTGTTACACTGTATCTTGTTACCTCAAAAAATGTTCTCCTCACTTCAGCCTTTGTCTTCCCTGCCTTTCTGGGCTACTTGTATGTTCTCTCTCAATTAAATCTGACAACCATTCATTGTTTAATGTTTTATTTGAGATCTTCCAAAACTCATACAGAAGAGGAATCCATTTCTGTTCACTGCTCGTGATAACCCATCCTCTTTCTCGGACATAAATGACTTTCTGAAATCTCTCAGTTAATGAAGCCTGTGTCTTTATGATGCTGTGATTTCTGTGTGATAGATTAGGATTTTGGATCAAGCTAGGCCTGGTGATTTTTATTCTTTATTTTATTAAAGTTCTGTCTGACAGATACAACCTTTTACCCCTCGGCTGGGTTAGTAAACCTGGTTGCGACTGCGATAAGGACAGTTTGCTTTGAACAGTCATTTGAAACAGCATGAAATTTGATGAAGGGTGTAATTTTGCATTTATTTTCCATACACTTGCTCCTGGGGGAGCATTTCTGGGGGTTTCTGGGAACACAAAAATCCTGACAGAAGTACAGAAAAAGGAAAACTCTTTCAGAAAGTGTGTATCATTGAGAAAATGGCATTCAATCACCAGCATAAGCAGAATTTCCTGTTCAGTTGAGACAGTCTGAGCCTTGCCTAGAGAAACTGGAGACAGAAGTGTATCCAGAGAGAGAAAAAACTTAAATTCTGTGAGTTGTTAGAGCTACTTGTTACGTGCTGTGGATACGTGAATTCCTGACTGTGATATTAATTTCCTTGTTGAGTAAAGCATTTTATCTCCAGTGCCTCTGCCCTGAAAGCCTCTCCCGGTTTTTGTGCCCTTCTCTGTGAGCACCCATGCTATGTGCTGCAGAGCTGGTCTCAGTGCCTGGAACCCTCCACCCAGCACCCTTTGCTTTTCAGGTTGGTGAGTCAGTGGGGCTTTTTCGTGACTGCTGTGTAATCTTAATATGAGCAACTATGAATTTCTGTGCTGGTAAAACAAGAGGGTTGGGTTCTTAAAGCAAGTGTACCTTGGTTATCTATTAGATATGGCTTTTAAGGAAACTATTTATAGAATTGTACAAAAACTATATGTAGTGAAACATCCTTAAGAGTCTCATACAAAAGACTGAGCCCAAGTGCACTTGAGCAGCAGGTACTGCCCCCTCCCATGCATTTCTCATTAAATAATTACAGCTTAATCCTCCGAAGGGTTCCATTATAAGATCATGTTATAATCAAATAGCATGCTGGATAATTTTGTATTCTAGTTTCTAAGCACTAAGTATGTTGTGTTTAGTATACACACTTTAAAACAACATCCCCACAGTACATCAGCCTTCTCCATATCTCAGGTAACCAATTATTCTATTTCCTTCCAGAGAGAGTCCACGTTTTCCTTCATCTTCCTTTGATCACTGATGGACCTACAGACGCTTTTCTTGTTGTCCTTGATGTCCCTGGCCATCTATCAGGGCTTTTGCTTTCCTAATCTGATCCCTGGCTGCTCAGACAATTTGTCTACTGTTCCCAGGCTACCTGTTCTTGCTTCCATCCCCTGTAGGCTCCCTTTTTGTGTTTGGCTTTGTCCAGGAGCATCTCGTTCATCCATAAAGACCTCTTGACATTTTTGTCTGACTTCCTTTTTGTTGGAATGCACTGCTCCTGAGCCTGGAGGAGATCCCTGAGCATTAACCATCTTTCTTGGGCCCCTCTTCCCTTCAGGGCTTTACTCCATGGTACTCCACCAAGCAGATCCCTGAAGAGGCTGAAGACTGCTCTATTGAACTCTTGGACTGGGAGCTTGCTGTGCACCCTTCTCGCTGCCCTGAGGATCTTGAACTCCACCGTTTCATGGTCACTGCAGCCAAGGCTACTCTTGAGTTTCCAAGTCTCCACCAGCCCCTCCTGTTGGAGAGAGCAAGGCCCAGCATAGCACCTCTCCTTGTTGATTCCTCTGTCACTTGGAGAAGAATGGTTTCGTCAACACATTCCAGGAACCTCCTGTGTGCCTTCTTTACAGAATTTCTGTAACAGAAAAAACATATCTTCATATTGTACATTCACTTGTAGTAATCAAGAATGTGAGGATTATCCTATAATTTCAGGGATTCCACAATTCCTTAGTCTTTGAAAGTAAAATATTCTCCAGCTCTCTCTTAAGATCCTAACCTAAGACATCATTGTTCCTGTATGCTTGGGTGCCCTCTCTGCCTGCAAGAACCAATGAGATTATTGGGAACAGAAGTTGCTCTAACTTTAAATATTTATGGCATGTACAATTTGTATTGACTTCACCTCATACACTCATTAAAATTATTTTCAAAATTAGAATACAGTTGCAATTCAAATTTTCACCTACCTAACACATGAGGAAAATCTTCAAGAACTTTTGAATTTCTACAAATCAGAAATTATTTCTACGGAACAAATCTTAATGCTTTATCTATATTGAACCAAATCGAAAGACAATTCATGAGGTTTCATGTGATCTGCAATGGTACTTGATAAAATAGCAGAGTGAACAAATACCTAAGCTGCTCTGCAGGTCCACACTTCTGGATCTTACCTCAGGAAAGTCCCACTGATTTTTGTAGGGATGTTACCTAAACATACAGGTAAAAAACTGCCTTTGGTTTGTAAAATAATGGATTCCTTCAGAAGAAAAGGCTGTGATTATAATGATTATAAGAATTATTAAAACCTCCATTTCAAGAATTACAGCAGCCAATTGCAACATCATGGAGACTTTTGGGGGAAAAAAAGTAATTGAGAACATTACCTTTAGAACATTATTTAAAATATCAAGAACTTTAGCTTGAAGGGAAAGATAATCTATATTTTTGGTGTCAAAGCTGAGTTTAGAATGAAAGATTTTACTGTGCTCTGACAGATAAATTGTCACTCAGTTTATTGATGTTTATGTTAATTTTTTAAAAAAGTTTCAATATACATATTTTTAGGAAGCATTCTTTAACTTGTATGATGCTTGCAAACTTTGTCCATACCTAAGCTCTTTTTTTTTTTTCCCCTGAGTCAAGGTAACAACAATTCAAATATTTTCTATTTGAAAATAGAACAATTTTCCAAATTTTCCAAATTTGCTTCCAAAGCAATCTGTGTCTGGAAGCAGATATTAATCAGCAGAAAAATTATATGGCTATTTCTAGACATAATATGATTAATAACTGCAATAGAAGTGTGTCTACATACTGTTGAAACCATAGCTGCAACATTTTTAGATACGCTGCCTTTAGATATATCCAATTAGAATGAATTATAGCAGTGAAGTGGAGTCAGCAAACATTCCAGCACAGGCCAGCAATGACAGTTTATTTTCCATTGGTCTTGTGTAACCTGTCACGAGGATTATGTCAGCAGCTGTCATCACTGCAGGAGCGCAGTCAGGATAAACTGAAGAAGCCCACATCACCTGCAAATGCGTTCGGAACTGCGGGGTAAACATATGTCCACATTTTCAAAAGCAGCTAGTGATTTAGAGCTCACCCATAAAGAATGTTCTCAGCATTTTTTGAAAATCAGGAGTTTTTCAAAACTCCTAAAGGAGAAATTCCAACCCCCTGGCCATTTAAAACTCCTAAAGGAGAAACTTGGAACCACTGGCCATTCCTAAAAATGTAAAGGCACGTTTTCCTGGCTCATACGGCAGTTTGACTTCTAATCCCTATCCATTTTATATCCTTGAAAGTACTAATGTTTTTGACAGAAGAAACATAGGTAGTTTTCAAAAATGATTAATGAAGCTAGGTACCCAGTCTTGACTGAAAACTAGTGGAAGGTCATGCCTTAATTTTCTTAATGCTCCCAAATATTAAGAGGATTTACTTCTAGTTAATTAATATCAACAGCAAGTCTTTTAATAACAACAGGTGATTTAGCCTTGGTCAAGAACCCAACAAATCAAACTTCAGTATGTAAAGCAGCTTGGAAAGCAATTTCATAAAGTATATTCATTGAGCACTATACTCACTGCAGCTCATAATTTAGTTTTGAAGTACTCGTTTTATGGGAAAAGAAATTAAAAATTATCCACTAGATATGTCTAGAAAATAACACAGGACATGGGACTGAAGCTTAATTCTTTCTCATTGTCACCAATGTAAGATTTGTGCACTGTGCAATCCCACTACCTTCACAAAAGCTTCCCACAGTGTCTGTACCACTCCGAATTGTGTGCTCATGGGTTGTACCAGGAGCTACTTGACTCATTAGATAAGTGTATGACAAATTTTACTCACAAGGAAGGCATGAATTACATTTACTCTCTTTTAGCTGTGTCATTTTTGCACTACCTTTTAATGGGAGTAGTTTATTTTTACTTCTGGTGTATGAAGATGGCATTTCTCCTTAGGCAGTTCTCCAGGAAGAACCTCTCTTTCAAAAAAGTAGATTTCTACCTAGAGTTAAAATAGATGCTTGAGGCTTGTTTTCCTTCAGGTTTGTTTGATATGTTGAGAGTGAAACATTTTGCTGAATTGCTGTGGAAGGACATATGTTTTAAATTTTGCCAGAAACTGGGGATCTGCAAAAAATTGTTTTGGTTAATATAGTCTGCCAAAACCAGATATTCAGGTCACCATCTAACAGTCATATGACTCATCTTACAAATAGTTTCCAAGGAAGTTGGCATGAGATGGTAATCAGCAATGTGACTATGAGATAACTTTGAAATATTTCAGTGCATTAGAATGCACTCAAAAAGGTTACTTGTTTGACAAAACTTTACAAATAATTAGTGACAGTATTACAATTTTTTTCTTGGTTACCCTATCATGTAAAGAAGAATATGTTTCTTTTTTTTCAACACAGGTATTCTTTTAATAAATAATAAATCTCTTCTAACTTCTTATTTTTAATGTGTAATAGAACACATTTAGGCTTGTGAATCATCAGCTTTTATTGTAAATGTAGAAAACAGCTTGGAAGTAAACATGACTTGCCCTCCAACTCAGTAAGAAAAAGGAGAAGCCTAGAAGGCCCCAAACCCAAGAGCTAACCTCCAAAACTTAACTATACCCATGCGTTTAGCAGATCCTTCTTTCTACATAAGAAGTAGAATAAATGCTTAGACAATCTACAAATACAAAACACAATAGATTAAGTAACATATAATCATAGAGAAAGAGAAAATATGTGACAGGTAGAAGAGAGGGGCTCTGAAAGGGAACAAACTGGAAGAAAATGGACCAAAAAAAAAAGGTAGAGTGCTGGAAGGGAATAACAAACCTGAATGCAGGCTTCATACAGGCATGAGGGACCCAGGACTCCTAAAATGGTTAGTGTGCTCTGAATGCTACAAACTATTTGAGAACACAAACATACTACATTTTGATTTCTTGGGGTTTTATTGAGGATGACTATTTTTTAAATGCAGTAAAGTATTCTTAATGTGTGTTGGTGCTATTACCCAAAACCCTCACATCCCACTGCTGCAGGTGGGTCTTTTCAAGCCCTTCCTCCAGGGATCTGTTGAGATTCAACATGGTATGAGAGATCCCACTTTCCTCCTGGAAGTCTCATGGGACTTAATTTCCAAGGAGGCGACCTACAATGCCTTCCTATATAAACCATAAAGAAGGAGCTTTCTGTTAACACCTTTGACTGGTCCCCAGGAGTGAACAGAAGTGAAGCTCATGTGGCCCAGGTTGGCTCTAGGAACTTCTCAAGGAGGAAAGGACCCTCTGTGGACACCAAGAAAATTTCACTCAGCTGCATGGGCTCAACAGGTGGTGGGGCTGTGCATGTTTGGAAACTCTTTGATCCCAGATTTACGGATATATCAGATTATCATTTTAGTGGCTGGGATAAACCACTGTCTGTAGGGGGTGAATGACAAGGGAGTGATGTGTCTAGTCTCACACTGCTCTGCATTCTACTACTTCAGAGAACGCATGCATGTCTATGGCTGGGTCAGATGAGAGTAAAATTTAATAGAAACTCAGGGAAGGATTGAATTTACAGTGATAATAAGACACTGAACACCAACATTTCCCTGAAAATACCTGACGAATTAAAAAAGATACTTGGTAGGATATCAACTGATAAGGGTAGGAGTGGCAACAAAAGAGGGAAAAAAATATCTGAATTAGTTCTAGCTGTGCTAAAATACAAACTGCAAATGCTGTCAAGCCTTCAGTGCAGATATCAGTGCAGGCTGTTTTTCCCAGGTAAGGCTTACCAGTTATATCTTTCACACACTGTAGCAGGGTAGAGATGCTGAGCAGCTCACCACTGCACCAGCTCCAGGAAGCAGCTAATGGCAACTCTCAAATGATGTTGATAAGGCTGGTTACACACACAGTTAGAAGTCTTGCTGTCCTACTCACTGCTTAGCAACTGGAGACTGCTGTGCTTGGATTTCAGGCTGATTATTTTAAAAAAGATTTAACTTTGTTGCTGAATCTACTTCAGAGCCCTGCTCCTGGACCTGATCCCTACCACGGCTGTCTTTGGCTCTGTGTCTGCTACAGAGGAGAAGCCACGAGTTTAGTGAGTGCAGTTAGTCAGATATCCAGGTCCTAGTAACTATGTGTGGATCCTAGTTCATACATGGAGTTAGCTGTCCATGAAGACTGATATGAATTTCAGATTTAGTCTCTTAGAGCACAGTCTGCTTTCTCTGGTCCTCAGTCCAAAGGTGCTTTGGTTATATTAAAAAAGCTAAACAAATACTGCCATTACCTTTGAGCTTTCCTCCACTCGACCACCAATAGTTACATCAATAATAAGGTTTTAAAGCCATTTAAAATATCTACCTGGACCTCTTATGAAGGTTTGGTACAGTCAGTTTCAACCAAGCTAAAGAAATCCACCTTATGGATATGATTGTAGCATGACTGCTTAAATAAACACAAAGGCAATTTATGGGATGTAACAAAACAAGCATTTTTAAAGCACCAGGAAGCTAAATAATAATGCTTTTACGTGTCTCATAATTGCTTTAAATACTATGGATGGAAGCCTCACTGGAAGGATTTTGTCAGCTTTGTCTAATGTGACATCTTGTTTGAGGAAAAAGAAAAAGCTTTTTTATTACCTAATCACATTTTTTGTCTTTTTCAGATAAATAAAGCGTCTATCTACATACAATATCAAAAATATTATTATCAAGTAAAAAATATTCTAGCTCTATTTGAGGTAATCCAAGCTTTTAAAACCTTAATTTAACACCTATAAGGTAGAGGAAAGAATAAGGCATTGCTACAGGATAAACACTTGTTTCTTAAAAAATAGTCTTCAGGACCCACCAGTGTTTCAATTGCAGAATTTTTTTATCCAACCTGATCTCAAACAGAAACTAGTTAGTTCAGAGTAACAGGCTTGGTGCTATCACAAATCAGACTCATAGAATATGCTGAGTTGGAAGGGACCCCCAGAGATCATCCAGTCCAACCCTTAGCCCTGCACAGGACCATTCTCAAGAGTCACACCATGTGTCTGAGATTATTATCCAAATACTTCTTGAACTCTGGTAGTCTTGGTGCTGTGACCACTTCCCTGGGGAGCCTGTTCCAGTGCCCAACCATCCTCTGGGTGAAGAACCTCTTTCTAAGATCCAACCTAAACCTCCCCAGACACAACTTCAGGCCATTCCCTTGGGTTCTGTCACTGGTCACCACAAAGATCAGTGCCTACCTCTCCTCTTGCCCTCGTAAGGAATGAGGTCTCCCCTCAGTCTCCTCCAGGCTGAACAGACCAAGTGACCTCAGCCACTCCTCATACGGTTTCCCCTCGAGGCCCTTCACCATCTTCGTTGCCCTCCTTTGAGCACACTTTAACAGCTTGATATCTTTCTTATATTGCAGTGCCCAAGACTGCCACAATACTCAAGGTGAGGCCGCCCCAGAGCAGGTGTGGGACAATCCCCTCCCTCACCCTGCTGGAGATGCTTTGCTTGATGCCCCCAGGACACAGTT